CGAATGTTACTCTATCACGTTAGGTCGTGACAATGTCGTTTCGCATTCATCGTGATAGTTCGTTATTACAGCGATGACCTTGTCAATGTTATGTGCATTATCTACTGCATCCTAGCATCGATGCTCATGTGTAGTTATTAAGGTCAGTATTTGTCGTTGTCGGTCCTTTACGCCTACGCCCGTTAGATGAGGACGGGACCTTGCTTAATTCACTATCCAACTCAAGATGTTTAGTCTTCATTAAAATGGTAGTCATTGCCGCGTTTAATTGCGCGCCACTTGATGTTCTGCGTATCTTGGAGATATTTTTCTCATGATTACAATAATCTTGTACTATAATTTCTAACAATTACGGTAATCTTAAAATCGTGTAAAAATGTTACTTTAATCATTCATTTGTTTGTTTCACACCTGCATATACGTTGTTTTCTTAACATGGTAAATGTACTGATAATAATACAAGGTTACACCTAGTTTGTGACCTTAGACTTGTTAGCGATGACGTATGATAGTTGCGTAAATGATCAGTGTTCCGAAACAGTGCATTACTTATAACCAATCAATCATATACGAGTACTAGAACAACCCACCTCGGATACGAATGTGTATATATTATTTTGTTTTTACACTAAAGTACTCGTACATATGATTATTTAATAAGAATACTAACATATTTAGGTTTAATAAATGACCGTATCTCTCAGAATGTACATTGTTCCCCAGAATAACTTGCATGGGTGCAACGGGTAGGCCAACCGCGTTTGACTAGATTCGGCTGGCTCGGCGGTTAGGAGAGCCCCTAACTATTCGGCTATCTAGTGCGCGGTCAATCAAGTTTCCTTCAGTTAAAAAAGGATGTACTAACAAACATTAATCACCTCAATAATTAATCGTCATTTGTCGTATGTAATTGAGTACATTCTTTTAAAATTTAATAGGTATCCGCTGCAGAAACAGAGGCTTTATAAGAATTCGTTTTGGTAATGTTTGAAAATAAAATGAAAATAAAGACAGAACATAGTAACAGGACCCACAATTAACGTACAAGTTTTTAAGATAAATACAACCTGTTCATTATTTCTGTTTGGTACAAAGAGTTAGTGACGGAAGACGACATGTTTTTTGTTATAAGAGAATTTTGTGAATGGAAAAGTTTTTAAGATTTTCACTTCGCTGTTTGTATATTTTAGGTATTTTGATATTATTCTGTGTATTTTATATATATTCTACTGAAAATAATCTAACTTCGTTATCTGTCGACTTCAGATAATGTACAGTATGCAATGTTAAAAATGTGCGGTATTTGACTTCAACTTGATAATACATTCCATTCGCGATAATAACATAGTATGCAAGTATAAAAGTTAAATTTTGAGAAAATGATTTTATAATAAAATGTCTCCTTTGTAAACAAGTAGATGTACAGTTTAATAGACATTTTCTTTGTAGAATGTTTTTGCTCGTTTTAAATACGAAAATACAAATAATGTTGTAACTATATCATCAATGTTGTAACTATATCAACATGCTCATCTATGGAATTTCGATAGCAGTTTCTTGAATTGATTCTTTCCAAACAAAAAAATCGGCCAACGTTTGGCTTTGTTACTGAAAAATAAACATAGACGCACAAATTTCCTGTTTATCCCCCGACTCTCCTCTTTTGAATCCCGCCATAGATTTATTGGTTTATCAATTGTTAATAATCTACTTTTACACGTCATTGATTACAATAGGTCATGCATAAAGCAGTTCGTGAGATTCAGTATTTAAAGGACTTCCATGTCAATAAACTTGGGATTCTCTCGTCCCGTCAGTCCTTTGAATTTCAATTAGTTGGGCGTGACGTATTTTATATAGAATCTCGAATACGATTTGAGATCCGGCTATTCTCATTGCAATGTCTGTTAGAAGTATTGTAATAAAAAGAAGTAAAGTTAGAAGTAATGACCATACAAATATTGAAATTGCAAAGGTTTATCAAGTTTTATGTATAATGTACAATGAAGAATGTTAACAATTTTTTTTTATTAGCACTCCATATTCTCTGTCAAAAATAAAAAATACTAGTGAAAGAATTACTTCGATACGATAATTAGTTTCCGATTTAGAAGTAAAACAAGTTGTAACCGCACGACGCGGGCTGTCGGTGACGGTGTGACGTCATTGCACAACACGCTCAGTCTGGCTCACTTAGTCCGCTCGCAGTCGCGCGCCCGTGCCGTCGAAATTTTACCTAAATACTTTTAAAAATGTCCAATCCAAATACTAGGAAATCATGTGTTGTGCCTAAATGTAAAAATACAACTACTAATTCGCCGGGAAAGTTGTTTTTATAGACATCTTTATGATAAATAGACATCTTTTCAACCTCTTTTTTTTTCACATATAAAATGTGAAAGAGAACACTGTATTTGAAGCTCTCTAAGTTTTAATGCTACTTTGTCAAAAAAAAATTTCATTCTGACCAGCTAAATGAAGTGTTATACCACTTGTGCCAAAATCTTTAGCTTTAATCATTTTCAGTGTGGCACCAACACCTGAGAGCTTAGATTTTTTTCAATTTCGACGTAGCCACATTAAAAATGCTACAGTATGTTTACAGCCACCTCTGCTGGCGGCACAATCTTCGCAGTTTACATTTAATACTTCTTGATCCTTTTCATTGCATTCTAAACTGCAATGATAAGGTGTGGTACGTACGCGGTGTTCTGGCGTGATTCTACATTTAACCGTACATACATACATCACCTACTCTTTTAACTTGAACATAACCAATAGCATCATTGCCATAGCTGTTTCTTGCCGATCTGAAATAAGTTTCAAATAAAAATAAATAGCCTTAAGTATTTTGTTAGTAAAAAAATACTAATAAATAAATAAGGTTTAGTACATCTGTTCAAACTTCTATATTTGCAACAAAAAAATAATTTAATAAAATGGCCTTAAGTATTTTGTTAGTAAAAAATACTAATAAATAAAAAAGGTTTAGTACATCTGTTCAAACTTTTATATTTGCAACAAAAAAATAATTTAATAAAATGGCCTTACGTATTTTGTTAGTAAAAAAAAATACAAATAAAAAAAGGTTTAGAACATCTGTAACGTTTAACCCACAACATCTACATCCTAGGTACCTATCCTACTTCCTACTTATATTATAAATGCGAAAGTTTGTGTGGGTGTTTGTTTGTTATCTTTCACGCAAAAACTACTGAACAGATCTGGACGAAGTCTGTAATAATAACACATAGGCTACTTTTAATCCTGGGAAAATGTACAGCTCCCGAGGGAATCGTGGGCGAAGCTGCTGGCGGAAGCTAGTTTGCAATAAATCAATGTATGTATTTATTTAAATTTACTAAGAGCGGTACCTATATATACATACGTACCTACCTATAGCTACAAAACTATAATACATATTTGTCTTTAACGTAAAAATTTAATGGTAGGTAGGTACTTCTAATATTTGAGTTGCATTCTTCAATTACGATATTAGTTGCGTATTTTGTTTTGATAAAACAATTTAGAACAGATAAACTATTAAGCATCAATAGTAGCAAGGAAAGTTTACTTACCTACGCATTTTTATTCCTCGCATTTCGGCGGCAACGAAATTATTATTTGTTAATAAATAATGCGCAACTTTTATTCAGATTAAGATTATCCGATTGCCCTTTTTCGAATCCTTTGTCTATTTTATAAATCGAATAATATTTAATATTATTAGACTATAAACTATAAACTAATACACGGGCGAAAACACAACAAAATACTGCGCAAGCTATTATATCTACTATCACCGCTGGCGACTTGATACTAAGCGGGGCGCGGCGCGTTGTGACATGACGTCACAAGCGGTCACGTGGCTGTTAGCGGGATTCGATATTTTTCGAAACTTTGAATGCATATAAAATCAAAATTACTAGGTATTTTTGACTACAACAAAAACTAGTGTATTTGTATACATAAGGGCTTTATTGAGAAAGTTTCAAGCGATTTGGCATACCTAGTAACATTCTTCATTACTCTAAGTTTTATTAAAATAAAATACAACTCCTTTTAAAAATTTTATGTCTTTGTACTCTATCACATGGTTCATTCTTTCAACTGTAGAGATGAATGGGCGTAAAAAACTCCACGATATTAAGAAATTTAATTTTCAATGATTTAAATTGATCATTCTTGTACTATAATAGAAACTGTTCATAACCTTCTACTATATCCATTAATATTACCTGCAGTATTATGCTGCTTTTATTTTTAAATCACTATTAAGTTTATGTTTTATGTGCAATTAGTCCTAATAATCTTTTTTAAATGTTATACAACTCCTCTAAAAATTATATATCTTTGTTCGATGTCGCGTGGTTCAAGAATTCAATTGTAGAGATGAATGGGCCTAATAAACTTCAAGATATTTAATAGGTTTTCTCAGTCGTATATCAGCAGACAAGTTTTGTATAAATCTTCAGTTTAATGTATGTCAATCAAGATTTATGATTCTTGTTAACCGTAATATTTGTTATAAAGTAACTCTAAACGCTGTCGTTTTTATGTTCACAACATGGCCATACTATTATTTATCTATTATTATTCTATATATAGTCTTATAAAGAGAAGAAAAGATTTGATTGTTTGTTTGCAACGAACAGGCTCCGAAACTACTAGATTGATTTTAAAAAATTCTTTCCCTAACGGGAAATTACATAACATGCGGTGAACATAAGCTATATTTTAACCTGAAATATAGCTAATAAAGTTTGTATAGGGACTTGAAATGTTATCATAGTAACCATTATTTACTATTAAATGTGTCATTAGAATTATATCCTTGACTTTATATGAATCGATATTCAAAAAGCAGTTCCCTAGGAATCACGCGGGCGAAGCCGCTGGCGAAAAGCTAGTTATACATATTTTTAATCAGACAAGTCCTATTAGTAACAGAGTCCTATTAGTATTTGCTTTTTTTGCTGAAAATGTATGTTAATTGACAGGTGAATCCGTGTCGGATCGCGCTGAGAGCGAAGTGCGAGTGGTGAACGACCAGAGATGCATAGAAGTACGGATCGCTCGGGCTGCTGGTGGTTTAGGGTTGAGCATTGCAGGTGGGCGCGGCTCTACGCCGTACATTGGCGATGATGATGGCATCTTTATATCAAGGGTTACGCCTGGAGGGCCAGCATATAATGCAGGACTTAGGGTGAGTAACTAAATCTTTACTATTATTAAAAAGACAAATTTAGTACCTGAATTCAGTCCAGTTATGATTGGACTGTCACTGGACCCATACGTAGCCTGTCTGTGGACAGGGATTTACCATGTGAAGTAGCTTAGTTTTAGACACTTAATTGCCTCGAGCGAGGTAGTAAACTAATTAGATCCGGACGGGAAATATCACGCGAGACTGCTCAGTCCAGTTTGTGAATCTAATTATTATTAACTATACCCATTATCTTGGAATAAAGAAGCCATACAGCTGCCTCTAAGTGAAAATATAACTCTGTTAAAAGATAGGTTTGATCGCGGTAACTCATCAGTTTCTCTTCACTCGCATACGTATAACAGACCATAAGACTTAATACAAATTCTGTATCATTTATTTTGTGTTTGCTGTTATAAGCACTTATGAAAGTTAGCTTTATCATCGGTTCTCATATCTACCGCAAGAGACCTTGTTCTAACAAGAAACGGCAAAAACTCAGTAAGGGTTTGCTGTGCAGCTGACTGATACGTATGTAACACTAAACCAATAGGATACTGCGATCTTCTCGTATTCGTCACATATCCTTTGTGGTTATGATATTCATCTGTCCTGTAGTTAATGTTTTCATCTATTGGTTATTATTTATTTTGCTTAGAACTACATACATCACATTTTTCAATATAAGTATCAGAGCTACATTGACTTGTATATATTGTCGGTTGAAGAATAAAACACAACTTCCGACATCGATGCACCAATCGCCACAATTGCTGCAATCGTATAATGTTCGAATGTTCATAAAAGGATTTCCTTATACAGAAAAGTATACAAGTGACAGGGAAACGTCGATCAAAACCATCTGTTCAGCTTTCTTAACAGTCTGTCATATTCACAGACTGCTATATCCCAGACCGTCATGATTTATATTAATGTTTAATGTTAAATAATTCTCAGTTTGTACCACTGAATATTTAAATTAGACTTCTATAATGTTATGTGTTTTACGTATAAAGTTTGAGGTGGTTACCAACTACGTGCAAAATAGCGTGATGGATATTTTTCGTTTCGCGGTCTGTAAATTATGATAATTATTTTCAGGTGGGCGACAAGGTACTCTCCGTGAACGGAACATCAGTTGTGGAAGTCGATCATTATTATGCAGTTGAGGTTCTGAAGGCCAGCGGTCCTACACTCACGTTGATTGTCACCAGAGATTCTCCTAACTCCACTAGGTAAATTTATTTTATTACCACTTTCTTATATTAAAGAAAATTTTCAAATTATATTTTACGATGGTATCATTATCCTTTTAAAATTTCCACTCCTGTGGCATAGGTAGGGTTGTTAACCGTACTCTAGAGTATTGTCCTCTACCCTGTAAGCTATAAAATAACATTAATCGAGGACCCTAAAATACATATATGATGCAAACCTATTTATCTTAACCTATAAACACCAAAAACTCTGAGAAAAAAAGTAAAATACCATTTTAAAAATGTTAAATAAATTATACTCTTTTTTATAAGTCGGTAATCTTTATTTACCTTCAAGTATGTGAATACGAACAGGTCATAATAACTTAAATTGCCTTTCAAAGTATGAAGGAGTTCGAAATAGTAAAATTTTGGTCATCCATCCCATGACCGAACTTTGCAAAAGTTGCTTAACATCTGGTTGTTAACTGGCAATTGTAGTTAATTCAAGTTTTAGTAACTTCATTTATTTAATTTTTACATATAAAATTATATATAACATATAATTATGTCGTGTAATTAGTCCTCTTTACTCACAGAACTCACAGCCGTGCACCAAGTGGAGCGAGCCACCATTCTGTGTCAAGCACAACTGACACGGTATCTACTTTAGAAAACGGACAGGTATTAGACATGTTCTTACATACTAGCTTAATGGATAGTAAGAAATAATTGTCACAGAAATTAAATTCTAGACATGAAACGACTTAATTAGTCATATTGTCTATTTTTTTATATATAATGCCTTAAGATTTTTTAATCTTTTTTTTATTTATTTCTAATTAGAAAGAGCAATTTTATCCAATAATACATCATTGCTGTATATTTGGATATAAGAAAGAAGGGAGTCATAAATTTCCAATGTAAATTTTTTCGAAAAAGTTTGTTTGTTTACTACATGCGCTAATGTTATACAATTTTCACTTTAATATTCTCTATTAATAAATTTTACTTCCTCCTCCAGATACCAACAGGTCGAGGAATGTCAATGAAACCACTGATCATCGGCAACCAGTATGCGCAAGAGTTCGAACCCGAGTTTAAAGAACAGTCCAAGCTCAGAAACAATCAGAGCACGCCCACTCCGATAGTCAACTACAGTCCTTCGCCCACCGGGCAACCTGTGGATTATCAACGATTGCAATCATCACCACCACCCACCACGGCACCTTATATACCACCAGGTAACCGAATTCTATCTTAGAGAGTCCGTATCGGGTCCCAAGTATAAAAAAATAATAAAAACAAAATATAGATACGTTTATTTATTCTATCATTTTCTTTAGTCAGGGGTTGCAACCTGCCGACCGCAATATCAAACAAAGTTGCGGCTTTCGAGTTCTGTTTACAAAACATCATTTCACTATCGAAACCCTTTAAATTGTGTAATTAGTTGAGTACCCATACTATACGATTAAGAAGTCAGACTGTAACTTAGAGATAGATATTCTAAGTCGGTTATTTTAAATTTAATCTAAAATGTACTATGAAAAATATTGGAATAAAATCATTCAGTGGCTGTTTATAATGTGTGAAATTTTGTAAATTGTAGCCTTTTTAGCCCTTCCTTTTTATAAGGTTGCCCTGGTCTAGATTGTTAAAATTACTTAAAAAGTCTAGAAACTATCTCATCGGTTCGAAAATCTATGGAGGGTGATTTTGTATTAAAAGAATCTAGAAACTATACAAGGGCTGCTTTTTTCTTCCCGTTTCATCTCATACAAGCCCAATTAAGAAATTACTTGATTAGAATAGGAAGTCACAACACACTTTTGTGTGTATATCGCATTAGCAAAAGGGTTTATCGCATTGCCAAAAAAAAATTGAAAATTTCGATTAACTTCTACATCTTGTTTATTTCGTTTCAGTATACCAACAAAAAGTTCTTGTTCACACGACTTTGATTCGTGATGGAGCCGGTTTAGGGTTCAGTATAGCTGGCGGTAAAGGCTCACCTCCATACAGAGACGACAGCGACGCTATATACATATCGCGTATATCTCCACAAGGTGCCGCTGCTAAGGACGGGAAAATGCTAGTTGGCGATAAAGTAGTATCGGTGAGTTTAGATCATGAATAAAAATGATAAATTTCCACATTTATTATTATTATTTTTTTATTCAAGTAAGTTTGTTTCAAACACTTTTGAATCGTCCTAAAATTTTTTTTTCCCTACCACTTGTTCAGGACGTCTTTTAGCTGACAAGAGGAACAAGCGAAAGAAACTTACCAGCTCTTTATCATAAGTAATGGTCAAATCATGTCATTATTAAAATAAAACAATAATAATACAACTTTCAGTCTGTAGGACATTGGTTGGTACATATATTATTATTGTTATTTTTTTATCGTAGTGAAGTCACAAGATCTATGGTCCTTACTGACTGTTTTGTAGAATATTTTAAATTTGTTGCAATTTAATTTATAGCATCTTTCAGTTTAACATATTACTTAATTTGCTTGATTGAGGAATCCAAAACTTGATTTAATTATTTTACATACGTCATTTTACCTTAGCGAAAAGTCATTGTTGCAATTCACAAAAATATTTCAAATATTTTGGTAGGTAATTTACGTAAAGGCTTTACATATTGTTTGCAAATTATTATTTAGATAAACTTTAAAAGTTTACCTTAATGTGAAATTGGTCTCTTGTAGCGAAAGTATATTTTTTTATCAGATCAACGGTGTTGATATGGAGAATGCGCGTCACGAAGCGGCCGTGGGTCTGTTAACGGGCCATGAAAGATTCGTGAGGCTCGTACTACAACGGACCATCACTTCTGATCAAGGTATCCATAAAATATCAGACTAAAATAGTATAATACGCTATAGCTTACGTTCTGCCAAACTAAGCTTTACGCCTTTTGCGATTTCTGATTTTTTTTTGCAGTTTAACTCATGTGTTCGCTTTTTGTATCATTTTAATATGTATCTAATATTGTTATCACGTTTTATCGAGTATTCATTTTGTTCATTTTTCTCTCGTAGCCGAGACGAACCGGAAATCGATATCGGACGAAGTGAGAGAACACAAGACCAGCCTGACGAATGTGAACATAGCACCGTCACCGAAACCGAATCATATAAATAACGCACCACTGATTAGCAATCACACTAACACAGCACCGAGAGTGACGCATATAACACAAGCCCAACCTAAAACTCCGCTCCAAAGTCAACCCCAACCTCAAACTCCGCTCCAAAGTCAACCTCAAGTCACGCACTTTACACAGATCTCGCCACAAGCCAATCAAATTTCACCACAGCCCGCACGCACGACGCCACAAGCCAATCAGATTCCGTCACAGATCAATTCGATTCCGCCACAAGTCAATCAGATCACACCACAAGTTCAGCAAATGAATAATCAGCAAACGAAACAGGCGACTTATATACATGGAGTGGTTCCACCGCAACCCGCTCCAAGAAGGTTGAGTCAGCCAAACGGCCAGGTGAGGCTTGGACATTGTATTGAATGTTTTAAATGGAAAATATACTCTAATAGGCTATTCTACTCTGTTTGAGATAATATATGTAACTGTTTATTTTAATTCAAAAAGCCTTATAACAAATATTTCTGAAAAATAAAAACGTTTTCTTGCCTTAAAATTATATCACAATTTGGACTCTTATACCCGAGAAAACGCTCTGACATATTCATGACGTCACTGTGTATGAACACAAAACATGAATACGGTAGAGATTAAAAGATGTCAATAAAACTTGGACAGTGCCATCTAACACTCGATCTCGAAATAAAAAGATATAAATAAGCTTAGAACAGCGCCATCTAGGAATTTAATTTATAATTATTAAGCATGTCTAAGAGTCACGTGCCACACAGATGAAAAATCACGACTTTTAATTTTAACATATTAAGACAATCGTGCGACTTTAAGACGCAAAATCAGAATCTCTGTTTTTATTACGATGTAAATTTTAGTTTTTGTGCTAATTTGGTGACTTATTTTTCACTACCGAAACAACCCTATTGTAATTATAATAAGCACCTTTTTAGTACGCCATCACTTTACTAGTAACCATAACATGTCACTGCTTTTTAGATCACCAAATACACCAATGTAGTATAATTTTTTTGTTTATATTTGCTTAGCAGAGTTCCGTTATGTTTACAAATTATTTTCTCATTTAATGATTTGTTCGAATATAAAAAAAATAATAAAAAATTAAGTCATTAAAATAAAAAATTTGTAAATGTTAGTTATCCACTGTAAGCGTATTTTTAAATCTACAAGCTTAATAGTGGCTTGCGCTAGTTTCGATACTACTCGAGGCACACTATTTATAGTATAACTGTTGACTCCAGGGCACGAAGTCAACAACTAACAGCGCGAGCACACCCTTAACACCCAGCGCCCCTAACACTCACGGCTCAACTGACGAGGTGTTCGAAGATATCCAGGTAAGATTACGCGTACACAAAATCACGATTAAGTTAAGAACAGGTGATGGTACGATTTAACACGTTCACATGCGCGCTTAAAGTTATCGCTTCCCACCATTATTATTATACGCTTTTATTATTACACTCTATTTATTTTGAGCCTTGTGGTCATGTGAGATGTCGAACTCGACGCGTCTCGAAATACAGAGCTCATATTTCGAGTTCGCAGGGTGAGGCATCGAATGTGGCCATGTTAAGGCGCGAATACACTTTTCATTACAACGCTGGCTTTTCTGGCACTACTTGTTTTCAGAGAATCTGAAGTCGAGTCCAGATTTGTTTTTACTTTCATTTCGTTTTCATTTACATTTGTTAATAGCTGAGTTTAACCTTGTTTACTTTGTGATCGCAGGATATATAAAGTTAGAAACTTGAAATATAGATTGAGTATGACAGACTTCCTTATATTCAAGGCCGCTTATAATCTATACTAATATAAGGCTGAAGAGTTTGAACTCTATAATCTTAGGAACTATTGGTTCTAATTGAATTATACTTTTTGTGTTGTGTAATAGTCCATGTATCGAAAAAAATCGAATAAATATGTTTCAAAAACGTGAGATTATATTACATTTTAAGAGGTTTCTGTGCACTACGTAAATGATACGCAAAAATCATGTATTACGAAATTCATCCCCTTTAAAAGTTCTAAAAGAAAGTCCGTAACAGCAGAAGTCTATCTTATATCTTATACTGAGAAAAAGCATATAAAGGGATGAAAATGGAAGTATAAGTTCGCATAGGGCATTAAATCGTGAACATGGCAACCATTGTTTACAATTCAATTTGTCATTGTAATTATATTCCAAGCTATCCATTATTAAATTATTTAGCTGTTTAAGATGGATTAAATAATTTTTTGAATAATTCAAATCGGTACAATCGTTGTCGCTAGTATTAAATGCATATAATATATTGGTTAAGTGCACGAAAATGTTACATTTAGCTGACGCTACTCATCACTAGATGCCATTACTGTACTTTTACAAAGAGATTTTGATATTTGTTATGCTTGTAGCCTTATTACCGATTTTTATAAATAAGTAATGTTAGTTTTTAATTTTGCGGTTTTCCAATATCATAATTTAACGGGGCATTATTAATAGGGCGTAAAATTAAATTTTACATTTAGCTAACGCTACTGATCAATACATGACGCTATTGTACTTTTTCTTTTAAAACGGGATTATGTTTTTTTTTTAATGTTGATGTCCTTATTGTTTTTCTGATTTTTATCAAATTCATTTTCAATTTTGTGGTTTTTAGGTTTTCTTAGGATCGTTGTAGCTTCGTCATGTCCGTCTGTCTGTCCGTCCATTCGCGGTTTAGGTAAAAAACGATTGCTATTAGAAAGGTGTAATTTAGCATCAATATACACGTTAATCACGCCGAGACAGTGGCAAAACAAAATATTTACAGGAGGTAACCAAAAAAATTTTTTTACATGTAGAGTTCAGGATGAAGATTAATTATGAATGACTAAAAATCATAAAATACTTTAAACGAGTTACTTATGGTAGGTATAAGTTTTATCTAAAATAACAACTTTAATTCAAAGTATCAAAGTTAAGTATTAAATTGGACAAGATAAATACTGGGTGGACTTAACTAGATTCGTTCGATACCTACAAATTGAAGAGATTGCAGTAATTCCATTGACAAAATTTAATTTGCCACGTCACGCACTATAATCTCTGAAAATGTTAATTTGAGAAAGCAAGACTGACCGTCAAGTTGCTTTGAGGATCAGGCGTAGAATCTTGCTCAAGTAAAGCATCAGACTGTTTTAAAGCCTTTATCTGAAAGTCCAGAATAAGCATAGTAGGTAGTCAAATATCTAGATCCAAGTAAAATGACGGAATAATTATACAATAGTAAGTAAAAATTCGAGAAAAGGACTATTTTTTCAAATAAAACATTTGTTTGTATTTTTTGGAAAAAAAGAACAACTGGACTATTCTATAAAGACATACGCGTTATACATATAAACACCCTTAGATTTTCCATAATTGGTTCCATCTATTGGACAGGCTGCCCCAGCAGTGGGGACGTTGATAAGCTTATGATGACGATATAAAGGTGGATGCTCATTGGCAGATTTTTAATTAAAGATTAGCTTATATTAACCCGGCGTCATGGGGGCTGGGTCAAAATTACCCGCGCTTTCGGAGATCACCAATAATTTTGCAAAGACGCGCGCGACGTTGCCGCTCTTCTCAGTAGCTGGAGCTATTGAGTCCCTGTACACGTTAATTCCGCGAAATCAGTCGGGCGAGAGCCGCGTTGGAAGCTACAAGTGTCGTGACAAAAAAAAGGTAAATATGACCCATGCCTGTAGTCCGTGTAACTATTTTAAGCCATTTTGATGAATCACGGTTTAAGTGGTTTATTGTTGTTTTTGATGCTTTTTTTTTTGTTTTACTACATTGTTTTGTGGTTTTCACGTTTTTTATTTTGTCAGTACGTATTACGAATAATTATGGACACCGAAGAACGAGAAAGACGACGTATTATGGCGGTTCTAGAAGAATCTGACTCGGATGTTATGTCGTCTGATCAGGAGTCTGAAGAAAATGAAGACCATGTCAGTGAGCGTAGTCAATCTACCGATACCGAGCAAGACATTTCGGATAGTGACGACGTTCCATTGGCGACAATCAGACGAAGGGTACTATCTGAGGCAAATCTGCAGCAGGAGGATCATGCATCAACAAGTTCCTCGGATCGTGATTGTGAGTACAACCAGCAGTATTTTGGTAAAGATGGTACGGCTTGGTTTCGTAAGCCTCTTCGACAGAATGTTCGAACAAGAGCCGAAAATATAATTGACCAGTTGCCGGGGGTAGCTCCGGAAGCAAAGGCTGCTTTGTCTGAATTTGCATGCTGGAACCTATTTTTTACTGAGGAAATGTTGCAAAATATTCTGAAATGCACTAATGATCGCATCCGTCCTAAAATAGCATTGTGCAATAATTTGTCAAAATACACGCATGTAAAAGAATGCAATGTGGCAGAATTAAAAGCTTTTATTGGCCTTCTTTACCTTGCTGGCTTAAACCGCTCTGGTAGGCAAAACTTGAGTGACTTGTGGTCTACTGATGGCACTGGAGTAGAAATTTATGGACTAGTAATGTCTAAACAGCGTTTTCATTTCCTACAAAGCTGTTTAACGTTTGACGACCTTTCTACTCGCGACGAACGGAGACGACTTGATAACTTAGCACCAATTAGAGAACTGTTTGAAGCCTTTGTTGAAAACTGCAAAAATTCTTACGTGCCAAGTGACTGCCTAACAATAGACGAAATGCTGATAGCTTTCAGAGGTCGCTGTAAATTTCGTCAGTACATACCATCGAAGCCGGCCAAATATGGGCTAAAAATAATTGCTCTAGTAGATGCTCGAAACTTTTACATCAAAAACCTCGAAATATATGCGGGAAAGCAGCCTGATGGTCCATATTCTTTAAGTAATAAGCCATTTGATATAGTAGATCGAATTGTGCAGCCCATATCCAAGACAAAGCGTAACGTAACGTTTGACAATTGGTTTACAAGTTATGAACTTGTTCATCACTTACTTAGTGAACATAAATTAACGTCAGTTGGGACCCTACGTAAGAATAAAAAGGAAATTCCACCTGAATTTACGAAAACGCGCAAAGGCGTTTTTACCTCCCGATTTGCCTTTCAAAAGGACATCACTCTTGTGTCGCATATACCTAAAAAGAAGAAGGTAGTGTTGCTGATGTCAAGCCTTCATCATGACGACTGCATTGATAGTTCAACCGGCGAAAAGAAAAAACCAGAGATCAACACTTATTACAACAAAACAAAATGTGGAGTTGACGTCGCTGATGAGTTGAGCGCTACATATGACGTGTGTCGTAATTCAAAGAAGTGGCCGCTGACTATTTTTTATGCGGTGTTAAACATGGCAGCGATAAACGGACTCATTTTACACCGCATAAACAATGAATCAAACCAAAAACGACGCCGCTATTTGAAAAATCTAGGCCTTGCGCTTGTCAGTGACCACTTGAAAGACCGCCGCAACGTTCTAAGTTTGCCACGTGAACTTCGCAAAAAAATCTGCCAGTTTTCAGGCGAACCTGTGGAAGAGCCCCCGATAAAAAGAACTAATGCTCGCAAGAGGTGTCAACTATGTCCTGCAAGCAAAGATCGTAAGACAACTCACGTGTGTCAAGGATGCAACAAACATATTTGCCCTCAACATATAGTGCCTTTCTGTCCCACTTGCGTTAATTATAATGATTGTCCTTAGTTATTTGTATTGTTTAATATTGTGTTATTAATAATAATGCTGTTTAAAAATTTTGTATTGCCAAAAAATTTAATTATTTTAAGTTTTGCTAGAGGAAGCCAAATTTGTTAAAAAATTAGTGTATATTTTTCAAAGTCTAGTTCTTATTAATAAACCTTTCTATTTTCATTATAATTTTAGTTTTTTATTACCCTAATAACACTTATTCAATGCTGATAATAAATAATATTCATTATTTTTAATAGATTCCGAAATATACACAGTTCATATCCAGGTAATTATGACCCAGCCCCCACGTCCGTGTAAGCATTTACCACCCCCATGACGCCGGGTTAAATATCCATTCGGATAGGCTCTGGTTAGGATCTCACATCTCTTTGGTTAGGGTAAAAGTACGTAATATGTTTCACATTAATTGAAAACATTATAAAATCATACATTTGAAGGAATTGTAATTGTTTATTTTGGAATGTATTTGTACCATTAAAGTTAAGAAGAAGAAGACATTTTAAGAGACAGATGACTCTTCCATAAAATAATAAATAATGCATAAATCACGTACATATTTATTTTTATCTCAGATGAATATGCTTCACCTGCCTTAGAATTTTTTTTGCTTATAATATAATCCTACTATGTATTATTAAAAATTTACTTACAAGTATTCAGTTTTAGTGTTTGACCAAACGATCACTATATTTTAGACTTTATTAACATTATATCAATAATATCATGCATATCTTCATCCAAATTATTTGCTCCTCATTCATATTAAGAGGTTATAAATCAAGGCTTTTTTTGCAAATCTTCTTACTTCCGGATTCTGAAATTAGAGGTGATAGCAAAAAACTAAATCTAGTATCACATTTTGCTGTCTTTAATTTGTGAAAGTTATACTGACTGACGAAACAATAATGCGGTTTAAGTCTAGTCAGCTACCCTCGTACGTCCCACGCATCGGAAAATTGTAAAAGTTAACTTTATGTGCATTTTGTTCCTTAGATTAATCCGTAGACGTTGGGAAAAGTATTTTAAAATCTTTTATATTTCCTACCACAGATCTCATTTATGTCCTTGGGCTATAAATTCAAGAGTGTGCCCATTATAAATAATAGAAAAGAAATAAATTATATTAATTTTAATTAAATTAAAATATTTATTTTTTTCATTTATTTCAATTGTCGCACGAAGACAATAAGTCACGGCACTTCTTGTAACACGTCTTGTAATCCATTGATTATAAATACAAATTAAGTTTGCAAAAATAAAATATAATTATAATTTATTGTAAAACAAAAATTCTACATAGTTATTGTATGTTCAATATTCTTAAGTAGTCAATTGTACTGTAAGAGTCATAAGCTAAGCTGTTTTTTTATTTATTTATTCATAAATGACACAGTAGACAGTAAATAAACAAAAATAAATACCATTTTTTTTGCTGGTAGTGTTTAACAAACAGCGCGTGACGTCACGCCCTTCAAACTCACATCAGAACTTAGAGAATTCAACCTTATGCATACATAGAACGATATTCGTTTCAGAGTGCTGTGACGTAATAGCGACGCCATGACAGAAGTGGCGTTTTAGATTTCAACCTATAATATGTATGATATTTTTTTAGATATATTACATGTATATCTATAACATAAAAATATAAAATAAAAGTTGTCTGCACCTCTATTAAATAATATTCAAATATTTTAGTTTTTCCAAATAAGTTTTAAATTGTGTATTTAAAAAATCCGTGCACACATCAGCAATGTTTTCGGACGAATGTTACCTACTTGCACGCATATAGAGTACGTAAAATGTGTGATAGCGAAGTGAGGCGTTTTGTCATTGGCGTGTTACCCTATCTAGTCCAATAGCATATTGAATAACCGCCAGATATCTATTTTATATATATTAATCATACTCTATAGAGATATTGTGAGTCATACTATATTATGTTATTGAGTGTGTATAGTACAGTTTATGTGTGATATCGCTCGTTTTGTCAGTATTACTTTCTATGCACATTGTTTCTGTTTCTTTTAAAATATATTGGCACAATAAAGCAATGTGTGGCATTATAAAAAGACAAAATCCTTTTCTAAATAAAGTCAAATTATGTGAAACAGACTGAAAATACATAACCTTAATTAGGCCTTATTTAATCAACAATTTATGATATTAAATAAGTTTTTAAAGCTCTGGAAATTTAGGCAATGAAATCTTAATGGCTGGAGTTTGTTTTAATAGTAAAAGAATCCGATCAAAATATGATTTTATGTGCTATTAATATACAATTATATCCCATTATAGAAGACATATAATTTTGATTCATAAAATAGAATTCGAAATTATTATTAACTAGTTTTTTCACATTTATTCATACAGTGCTTCAGATATTCATTACGTTATACCGTTTTATGAGGGAATTCATTTAATAATAGGCACTTCTTACGTCGTTATCTAGCTCAACCTACAAATTTAACCACACAACTATAATTGAATATGTATACTGTGTGGATACCGAAAACTATATTCGTGTTGTATTTACTTTGAAATTTTACATTCATTTATTAGCATTATTGTACAATGATTTATTTTCTCAATAGGCAACAAACATTTAGCTAACCATATCTGGACACGACTTAGATTCAAAGTTACACTATCAACCTCTTATACGAATGTGAACGTGTTAAACGCGCAGCCGTCGCGGCCGATCACGAACGAGGAGTTCCAAGCGATGATACCGGCTCACTTCCTCGGCGGGCCGCGGCCCACCTCTGAGCCACCGGAGAAGGGGGTGAGAATGACGGTAGAGCGGCCGGGTGCCGGTATCGTGATGCCGCCGCCGCCTTCGACTATCGGCCGCGTCACCGAGACCATCACCAAGTCCACCTTCACTGAGACCACGGTCACGAGGATTACGGACAATCAGCTCGTCGCGCCGCTCATCATAGAAGTAAGCGATGCTCTAATGGAGGTTCCCGCTCAATTTTTAACTATCTGCTTTTGTATATGGGGATCATTGCGCTTTAAATACAGTTACGCGCTTCGCTACTTTTATACGGGTGCTAATTATACTTAATATATTTGTTAAAGGTCTTTCTCAGTTTCTTTTATACTGCAGTTGTTTATTGACAAATTGAGCGAGAATCTTATTATTTTATATATCTCACTAGATACAGACAGCTTCAAGCGGCTTCTTCAAACGACAGCCTACGTCGCAACAACGGTATCAAATATTGGTTTAGATATAATATTTGATAGAAATTAGTTGAATTTTGTGTTTTGATTACGGTATAATAAATTAGAAAATAACGTTATTATAAATATCAAATAGTTCCGCCAAAAATCTTTATATAAGGTGTGATATTATTATATGACAGGAATTCGTGAGGTGGATTAGTTAAGTATACTGAATAACTTTTGACTATGGAAGCATCACCATTTTTTTTCGTGAACTCAGTGTTGCTCCTATCGTAAAAGTTTGTTTAGTATGCTTAACTTATCCATCCCAAGTCTTGGCATACAATGATGTTACACTTTATATAAAATCTCAATGTAAAAACCACATAATTAAACTTTATCTTTGATTAAAAACCCCTACTGCAACATTTATGTGTAATTGTGATATTAATAAGCCTAGTTTTGATATTATATTTCTGGTAATTATTCTTACGGATCAAATTTAAAAATAATCCCGTAAATTCTAAATGCGAATGATTGTGAGGATGTTGTTAATCTTTCACGAAAAAACTACTTGACAGAATTTGATGAAACTTTGGTATACGGATAATTAGAATTATGGATTAACATACAGGCTACTATTTATCCCACTCAACAGTTCTCTACGCGGGCGATGCCTTTTTCAAATAATTTGAGTGTGCATATGTCAAGGGGTTAACGCATCGCAAAAAGTTGTATTAACTTGTTTTTTATATTCCCGCGTAAACTACACATCGATTTAGTCATAGAGATTGAGTCTCCTATCGATTGCGTTAAAGTTAATTTTGATTAGTCAGTTACTTGTGGACATTAGTATATAGTTGTTTCTATATGCTAGTATCAGATTACGATATTTCGAGTATGAATTTGTAAGCGATGTTGTACCTAAGGTATTTTTAATCAAAGATATTTATACGTAACTAGGCACAGAATTTCTCGGATATTGAGCTACTATCCGTTGAAGTTCTCTTTATTTTTGCTTTTTTGCTGCCTTATCTGAATTATAGACGTTTTCTTGACTTCTACTTATTCCCTTGTTACAGGATGTGAACTTAGTGAAAGATGGAGGTTCTTTAGGGTTCAGCATCATTGGAGGGACCGATCACTCCTGCATTCCATTTGGTGGCAAAGAACCTGGGATATTTGTATCCCATGTAAGTTGCTGACATTTATTTTTTTATAGTCTTTAACACTTTCCGAAATATTTGTTCAAACATTTCTTACTCATATTTTATATTGTCATCCTTCACCGCCACAGTGTTGACTAGCGAATCTAAAATTGATTGAATTTAATTTTAATAATTGGGCCTAAAAAGCTCTGCGTAGAAGGCAGCACTAGAACATATAATAAAAGAAAAAACTTTTTGAATATATTATTTCTTACAAATTAATGATTCCCTTCCTTAAATCCAACAATGATGTATTATTATTGGATAAAACTACACTCTTTCTAATTGAAAATTCAAATAGTATTAAAAAACTTGGTTTGGCTTGCTTGATTCTGTATATCGAATTCAATCAAATTACGCATGAGGCCTGCAGTACCAGTAATAATACAAATCAAACCTTCTTAGTTCAACAAATAATATTTATTTGCCGTTTTTGCCAGGTTGTGCCAGGCGGTGTAGCCGCTCGTTCGGGCAAATTACGAATGGGCGATCGTATAATCAAAGTGAATGGCACCGAACTGACCGGTGTGACTCACCGCGAAGCCGTCCAACTGTTACTACAACCGGGGCACACTTTAGCGCTCACCGTCCGACACGATCCGCTACCGCAAGGATACCAGGTCAGTAGATTAATTTTTAAACCAACTTCAAAGAAAATACTGGAATCGACTAAACGTTTTTACGGTTCCGCAGGAAACAAGGAAAGCAGGTTTAGCTCAAAAACTGTTGGTAATAGAAAGTTGTAATTTGACATGAGTATACACGTTAATTACGCCGACAAAGTGGTAAAGTAAAATTTCGAAAAAATGTTTAGGGCACCCCTACATTTTAAGTAGGGGATGATAATATTTTTTCGTTTTCCCCATAGTGTGGGACATCGTTGAATAAGGCTTTCAAAAACATTGGGGGTTTGGGCAGGCCGTTTTTCGATTTAGTAAACCGTTTCTCCCCCCTCTATCAACAAAACAATCAAAATTCAAAAGGAAAATTATCACACCTAAGTTTGTTTTACAAATTTATGAGTAATAGTCGTATTTACATTCGAAAATTTCAAACAACTCCATAGAAAACAGCAAAGGTGGTTGTTTTTTACTCTTTTTAATGGATAATAGTACTGAACTTTTCTTATGCGATTTCGACTGGCACTTGTCAAGTTTTATTGTGTTAAAGTCACCTACGGGAAGCTATATCATACGCGGGTGCCGTAGACTATAATTTACGAAGGCAAAGTCGTGGAACAACCAACTATAATATATATACAGATTTCAGAATGTGATTAACTATTGTATAAATGAATTACTGAATTGAATTTAAATCTAAACTACCAGATTGTGTATTTAGTTCATCGAGGAATGTAAACCGAATGGAATGCGCGCTTGGATTGTTCGAAATACATCGTGAAATTGAATTTATAGTGTGGTGATTTGAAATGTGAATTGTGTGTGTCACAACGCATATCTGCGCATTTTTCTGCATGAATGCAAGTATTCTTAAGAAATGAAATGCTAACACGAATTTTAGGATATCATTTATTTCGCAGTAGAATGATTATATGAACGCTTCAAGTAGTTTGATTGGCGGTACAGAGGTTTAAAAAAAAGTAACGCTTGGCGCACATAATGTTCTTTAACGACGGGCTAGGCTGTCTATGCTGCGAACTGTGTTGCTTTGTGCGGTATATGAAAATTTGAAAACCTACAATAACTGGCATTTTAACACTTAACAAACATGAATAGGAAAGTTTACAATACTTATTGCTATACACGAAACATTATTTTGTTCCACACTTGCTCACCACGGCCATCCCAACAAACAATCAGGGTCTCATTCAAGTTGAGATTGTTGACGGAACTGTAAGTGTGAAAGTCGCCGAAATCGAACCTATGTGTGTTATTACTTTACCCGATAATGTCAGATACCCAATCCAAACAAATACTTGTGCTACCGCTATAGTCGTAATCCTGAATGGTTTTTTTATTATAATTGCTTCTATTTACGTAGAACACTCGTTAGGTCGCAAATATAATTTTATGTTAATCTCTTTTAAGTCTCCTCTAGCTTATTCTCTTTCGTATGGTAAACTGTTGATTGTAGAGTATTTTGACGTCAATTATTTTTATCTTCCATAATATATATTGTTTGTCTTGGCGTGGTTGTATATTTAGTTATGGAAGTAATGTGTGGAATGCACGGTTGTCTTTGCATGTACCGTTGTATCAGTATTTTTAAATAGTTGTTTGGCTTCAATCTAATGTTTTATTATTTTCATTTAAAAAGTGAGGATGTTATTTTTTTTAACAAAATGTTTGTTATAATAAAGAATGCAGTTTTAAAAAGTGTTTTATTCGACAGGATATGACTATTGTAAAACAAGAAGGCGAAAAGTTGGGTATGCATATAAAAGGTGGTTTGAACGGTCAACGAGGCAACCCTAACGATCCTAACGACGAAGGGGTTTTCATATCGAAAATCAACAGTGGCGGTGCCGCTAGGAGAGACGGCAGGTTAAAGGTAAAATTTAATTCTATAAATGAGTTTTAATCCTATTATTAGAGACATAGGTGATTGTATAAATTTAAATGGAATTTTATGTATTTGCAGATAGGTAAATTTAACAAATAAGTTTAGGTATATATGAGGGAACATTATCTTTTACACTTTTACAAAATGATTAAAATCATTATGGTTCAAATCGTATTCGTATAGAAATCTGTCTCGTAGTTTTGTTATTAATTTAGATTCCATTTATAGGATTTCTTTAGCTTTAGTTTAGAAAGAGAACTTAATTGCACCATAGTTTGATATTAATAACTTTATAAAAGACAGGTCATCGAAATACTGACCAGAATATCTGATAAGCAGATTACACTAGGCCTGTTCTCGCTTTATAATTTATAATTTTAACTATACGAAATTCGAATTTTAATAATCGGCACATTAATACGCTTACGATGATCTAAACCATGGCTGGCCAACCAGCCGATCGCGATCGACCAGTATTAGTCCAGTCGATCGTGGCAATTAAAAAAATAGAAATACATAATGTACGAACTATGCTGTTTCATTTAAGATTTTAAGAAGTAAAGTAATTGGTAGATCGTACTGGGTATCGTCAGTGAAAAGTCGATCTTGGGTTTAAACAAGTTGGCCACCCCTGATATTTACGAAAATTTTGTTTTTGTAGGTTGGCATGCGTCTTCTAGAAGTGAATGGAGTTTCGCTATTAGGCGCAACGCATAATGAAGCCGTGAACGCACTTCGTCAAGCCACAAACGCACCGTTACACCTCGTGGTTTGCTACGGGTACACACGTCCAGAGAAATATACCGTAAGTATTGTACATAAAGACTAAATTACAAGCACATCTTGGCATGACAATTCGCATTTTTTACTTCGTCTAGCTTACAAATTTTATTTTATTTATTACAACAAACTTTTCTCAAAGTTTTTCGATATTCGATACGATTTTTGATCTTATTTACACATGGATTAAGGTTAAGATTGTCGATCCCTAAATATATTTTTATTTTATCACAATATTCGTCAGCGAGATAGGTTCAAAGCTGTCGTTATTTTATCTGTGTTGATGATATAAGGAACGCCCGTTGGTTAGGTGATTGTTGTTTACTTAAATATCAATGTATATATATTTCAATATTTTAGTTTAATTAATACTTTAAAAATATACTTCATCCAAAGATTATATGGAGGTTTTGATTTAATTATTTTTAGGCACTATTTTGATATTTGCAAAGAAGCTTTTCTATCTAAGATAATGGAAATTTAAGGTTTCTTAAGTCACATGAAATCCACATTTTAATTTAGCACGCTTTCAAATGTACTTTGCACGAAGCGATGTGTATTTGGAGTAGCGCTAGTTAGAGAAACATAGACATAGCAATTGTTTGGACAGACCGGTAGTGAGAGCGGGACGGCGGATACAGGCGGCTCTCTGTCTCACTCAACGTCGAGCCTGGATCGAGATGAGCCGTTGCACAATTATCAACAGGTATTGTAAATAAATTATGTGTTATATACTACTCGGTCGAATTAACATGACACATGACGTCCCATTCTATTTCTCCGAAAATTAAATTACATCAGTTTTCCAAATACTAATACGACTCCATAGAAGTATCCAGTTAGGACCTGACAGCTGCCTCTGATGCACCGATAATCTTCAGGAATGTTTTGTAATTTTAACGAAATTATAAGAACGATTTTTAATCTACCGGATTTTCGTTCGAGAACAAATAGAATAGGATCTCAGGTGTCATGTTTATTCGTACGAGTAGTAAGTACTATTTATTTACTACATAAAATAATAGAATATAAAAATCAGGCGTAATTTATAGATCTTTTAAGAGGCATAGCAAATTTTAACATTCTGAATGGTAAATCCGAAATATTTAAAAAAAACATAATCCATTTAATATATATATCCATTTAATATATAATCCATAAGGTCGGAATGATAAGGAACACGAGTATGACAATGATAATAATGTTTAAAATAATTAATTAACAATAAAGATGACATGTAAACAATAATAATTAATGTGACATAGGATATTGACTTATAATTAATTAAATGTAATTGTAACAGTGATGAAAAAAATTATTTAACTTAATATTTGCATGCTATTTCTATATGGCTAAATAGGTTTTAAGTTCTTATTTTATTTTAATTAATTACTATCAAATTATACCCTATTTAAAGGCAAATAAATGATTATTATTATTTAAGCTCTGGTTAGAGTACCCTTCTGTCCTTGTTACTTCTGTCACTAAACTTTGACGTCATAATTTAAAAGATATTTTAAATGTTTGTTCTTACCGATTTCGTCTATTTGAATTAGATAGCGTATATTGATGATAACAATCATGTCTATTCCCTATTGGGTCATAAAATGTTATTTTTAATATACTATAAATAAGTATATCTATGTTCACAGGAGCAACAATTCCAACAGGATTTAGTTGAGTTTGAACACGAGAAACAAGTCGCTGAAACTAGGGAGAAGTCTACTCCTGAAAAGGTAAGACTGATTTATTAACTTTACATTACTTGCGTTTTGCTTGGTTTGTCCTTTTTCTGTTGTCTGTTTTTAAACGATACGTTTTTTATAAGACAGATTTTTTCCTTTTCTTTATATTATTTTATACTAATCAAGTTTTTAACAACAATGAGGGACAATAATTCCCTTAAAGTAAAGTTCCTTAAAGTAAAACTTATTCAATCATCCCTGCAGATTCTATGCTAGCCGCTGCAGATGGTGTTAAGTTTATAAAATATAATACACTTCATTGTAAAATTTTTAGTAACGTGAAATAGTGATGCCCAAGATGGTCCACAATTTTTGAACCCACGAGTGTTAATATTTAAGTTTATATGACATTCTACTGTTAATTTTACCGCAGGAATACAATACGGGTATAGACAGTAAATGAAAGTAAATACATGTTTTTTTTTTGGTTGTGTTTAATATACTATTACCGATAATCACACTTTTATGTTCATTAATTAAGTTACATAATTATGAAAAACAATTTTATAGCCGTTGTGACGTGGCCGCAAAGAGCCATTAGTCACAAACTCATATCAAAATTTAGAGAATAGAACGATGTTGGTTTTAGAGGAGCGTAACGTCAAAGCGATGCCATGACAGAAGATGACGTTTCGCTGGAAAATTGGAAAATTGATGTTTAGATTTTATCTTATTATATGAGTGATATTTCATGTAATCTATAAAATGAAAATATTAAAAAAGTTGTCTACTTCCCTATTCAAACATTATAGTTGTTTTTTTAGCACGAACGCCAGGGCTGAAAAACATTGGGCCACCTTAGGAACTATTGTCTTATGATATTATGTATTTGGTTTATATTTGAACGTCAAAATAAATGACAGGTGTTAGACATAGTCCACGCCGTAGAAAGTATGGCTCTCGAACCGGTACCACCCACGTCGCCAGAGCCCCACCACAAGACTACTACAGTGGTTATGTCGAAACACACACTCCAACCTCAGGTAACGAATGTAACACACTTCAAAATCCATACAGATTAAGCCTAGTCTTCGCTAGATGCCACCAGAGTTAAACCTTGTTTATACTATAAATAAATAAAAACAGTAGTTTTCATCTTCCTCATTATTTACAAATATCTTCTTTTTATATCTTTCTTGTAATGATTCCTTTTTTATCGCTTTTATATATTTCTTTGTCTATGTCCTGAAAGACGAGCTATTTTCATTAAGCTAATGTAACAAAAAAAAATAAATCGAAAGATAAAATTTCGCTTTCGCTTAAATCTTTTAAGTATTCATGTATTATTTTAAATTTAAACCCAAGACTAGGCTTCTAAATATACCGAGCAAAATAACTCTTTATAAATTAATCTATTGAGTATGTCACACAAAAATATGTTATGATAATTAACTTCAAATACAAATTGACTAATTTAAATTTTGTAATGCTTTATATTCTGTAGGTAGATATAAAATTATTTTAGTTAATCGATTTTAGCATGAAAAATAGCTTTGTATTATTTATTTCATTGACATAATTTATTACTTATAAATATAAAAAAACTACGATATACTTCTTGCACGATTGATCTTTCGGCCGAGAATGAACTCTTGACGGCATGCACTTTTGTATAAATATTCGTGTATTGTAGTTCATATTGCTTGCATGAAAATATAACTTAAATGTAATTGTTATTATATTATTATAAGTATATCGTATTAACACCTTATCTTCCAAAATAAATGTTTAGTATATTTTAAATTATAGCCTTTATTATTATAATGTAGAGGGTTTATTATTTGCCGGGAGGGTGGCACTTAAAACTGAATATTGCGGACAGCAATTTTATTTAATAGAATTTCAATGTAGGTTTTACTTTTGGCGGACTTTTAATTTATCAACTTAAGTGGATTAAGAATAATTTGCATGTACCCTTTCTTATGTTCTTACCTGTTTAGGAATTTCATCAGATTATTCGGACTCTATAAATGTACTACTTATGGAATAGCTGAACTGTGTGTTGATTTATTTTAGCTTAGATCAATGTCGTCATGTGTTAGCTTATCAGTCATCATAATTATGTAATTGAAATAGCTGTTTTGACAGCAAATGTATTGATTGAGCATATTACCTCCATTGCAGAGTGCAAATCCAGAGGAAAAGGAGGGAAACACATAGTACATCAATTATAAGTTCTGTCCAAAATGTAAATGTAAAAAATATATGTAATAATAAATTACTACTGTTTAATGGGTAACGTGAAGTAAGATAAGCATTTATTTACTGTGGTGATTTGTGTCGCATGGAGCTACAATTATTATATTTTATTTTTAAAATAATGAATACAGATGTCAATCGGAGAAAATCAGGACAATAGAGTTTTGTAAGCTACAAATTTCAAGTTCTGTCCTAAATGCAAAGATAATAAATTGTAGCTTCATGTATGTAAATAAAAATAGTGAGTGTCTTCTTAAGTCTTATGATTACTAATATTATATGTGACAGAAATATATATAATTAATAAGATATCTTAAACGGTACGTGTAATTTCAATGAATGAACTGTACTTCAAGTGAATGGAATTCTACAGTCAGACTGTGATCTTTTCTTCTTAAATGATACTTGTGTTATAATTGAACTTGATAACGTGGTCTTAAAGTTGCTAGTTGATTTCACTCTGTTGAAATGAATGATTTTGTGGATGTTATTGTTATGTATAAGAATATCCAGTTTATTATGTCATTAGTGTAATGTTTGTATTGTATTTGTAGAAGATACTTTATGTTAAAAGTTGAATATTATGGGTGTACTTTTGATTAGCTAAAAACAATATTATGTTAAAGAATTATGTATTATCCATAAAATACAATTCCTATATAAAGACACCGCGGTCACTAAAAGTAAGATTTCGAAGTTTTGTCCCTTACTGCCTTTGCAATAAGAATGACAAAACTCTATTAATTTTTTTACATCTGATTGTATTAGTGTTTCGTCAGTTACATAACTAAAATATTTACCTATATGTATACAAAGTATATAAACTGTCCAGTGAATCTTGTTATATAACCATATTACATGTTGTTGTTTAATCTATGTAACATTTGAATAGTACCCGAATGTTAATCTTCAAATTCCAATGTATAGGCTGAATATTATATATCACAAATAAAGATTTCTACTTCCAAATGACCAATGCACACATAGTTACTGCCAGAAAGTAGTACCTTCTCATAATAATATTGTAGTACATTAATTATTATTGTTCCAAACAACCTTGCAAATGAAATTCAATATGAAGACCAATTTTTGTAACTATATAAAGATGTCTTACCGTTGACACTATTCATAACTATTTACTGTATTCGTAGTCTCATTGAGAGATATTTTATATATCGATATTGATTGCATTTATCGATACGCGTTAATATTATAATATTTATTTTTAATGATTGTTTTATTACTTTATGATTGCTCCAATTTAAGCTTCGACATATCAAATTATTTTATCATATATCAACATTTCATATTTAATAAACATATTTAGAAAAATATTCGTCTATAAATATATTTGTTTTATCGTAATAAAATGATGTAATTATCGATTTACGTATGTTGTGAAATTTGGCCAAATTCTTTGTAACTGCCAATTATTTTAAAGTTTGATAATATTGTCTATAATCCATGATTATTATTTTTTAAGATACGAAAGTACTCTTATTGACGTTATGTTTTAGTGTTGCATTTAAATACAAGATGTTTCACAAAAAAGCAACTTTTCGTTTAATTTAATATTTTTAGTGACATTTATTTTGGAAGATTATTTTCCTTCGGCCTACGACCTCCGTATTGTTACATACGAATTCGAGTTGATAACGTGCTATGTTTTCGTGCAAGTAGCTTGTTCCTAGTGCGAGATACGAGCAGGGTGATCACAACATGTTATAAATACACAGTATCTACTATCTCGCAATTTTATTCGTAAACATTTAGCTAAATAACGTTAGTAGTTGCGTAAGTATGGTATACATTATGTTGGTTTGGTTAGTCGTATAGTTCGCACGCGGCTCCTCCATCGCCGCTAGCAGTGTTCACGGAACAAAAGGTGAAGACGCCTCCAGCGACGCCAAGCAGTCGACCTCCACATCCGCCGCCACCGCCACCGCCCAAACCGAAACCTCAAGTGCCCAGAAAACCACAAACGAAGCGAGTTAGTTTCACATCGGAACCAGAATACGAACATTTAACGAACAATGAACGAACGACACCCCCGCCCGTGCATGACGCGCATGACGATCGCAGAAACAGTGTCTACACTAACGATGCATGCGAGGGATATAGCTCTATACTAATACGAAATCGGCCGCCGAGAGCTGAGCTAGAGACGTCTAAACCCGTACGTAGAGCGAGTCTCGTCCTCCCCGACGACCTCATCATTCCCCCACCGCCTTCGTTCGATACGGACGTAAGTGATATTCCATTACGCAGGCCAATGGATATACCGCCGCCGATCACCATTATTCCCGAGAGAGTTATACTTCCCGAGCCGGAAGTAGCCGACACATCTATACAATCCTCGACTACGACGAACAGTCCTGAAGCCGAAGCGCCCCCTGTTAATTACGATTTTTATCCATCAGTCTTGCAACCGTTCGAAATTGACCAATTTCGGTCAGCTATAATTTCGGAAACTCCTTCACATCAAATCGTCCGAACTTCAGAATATCCGTCCATTAATAGTGATGATTATTTGAAAGAACTTTCAGCTAGTCCAGGTGGAGAACCTGATCCACCGGAACTTTTACACGCGCATTATACAACTCTTCCCATAGTTTCACACGTACCCCACTCCCCTTGTAATTTGCATCCCGATAAAACTTACATGGACGACGTTGCGTTGCATAGCTCATTGCGCGACTTGAGAGTGAAACATTTACCACCAAATATGGTTCATTCTACGACATACCCCCCAACGAATCCATATCCGTCTCTGACTACGGTTGCGGGTACATTCAATCCTTACACTTGTACAGTACCAATAAATACGAATCATAATAGCAACAGTTTCAAACCACAATTGTCCCCGTCCCTTACAACAACAGGCAAAGATATTAACGCCAATGTCACACAAAGTATTCCTACTTATGCCGGTGATAAGCCTAAAAATGTACAGTCAGAGAGAAGAGTTCGGTTCGGCGAAGTGACGACTGCGCCCGAATATGATAATATGTCGGACGGTTCGGAACTCGCGAGGGAAGGCAGTACCTCACCCGCATCCACCCTGAAACCCGCATGGAGCAGCCAAATCAAATCCTTCGCCATCGGCGAGGTAATCATCAATATAACGGCATAAACCTCACAACCACTCAGCTTCTTTTGATTGTGTTCGTCGACAACCCAACCCGATTACTGACAAAAACATAAACATGTCATGGTCATCCCTCCATACCCCATTTTGTTACTTATAATATTTTTTTATTGTTATTATTAACTTGCGATTATATTATATTTTGCATGTTCTTAACTACCAAATTTGCTACGACTTTATTATTTTTTATGAATATGAATAGTACTAATGACTTGGAATGCATGGTTGGAGCCTTCGGGGGTTTTTCACGCTTGTAAATATCATGGGCTTTTTTTTATTCATTACACTGTACTTATACACTCGGCAGTTGATATCGAGGTGTATGTATTATTTATTTGTTATTGTGATTCCCAGGCTTCCCCGCCTCATTCAGCTAATTTTGTGAAGGCGTCTGTTAGCGATAAAAAGAAATTCTTCGAAAATGCAATGGAAGAGAGCCACAAACCATCGCCTAAACCAGGTACGTAAATTTTATAATGTTATACTTTTCGACGCAAATGACTATTTAGAATTCCTATTAATAAAAATACCTACATCTACTGATTTTTATTTACATAACGTGGATCATCTACATCTAGTACTTGGTTTAAACTATTGGCCGCCTTAAGCAAATTTTCCTAGACAGTAAAGGCAGAGGCATATATCCAGCAGTGGAGTTAATAACTTTGCTGAGAGAGATGGAGAGGGAGATAGAGGGGGGGGGAGGGAGAGAGACTTACTTTGATTGCATAATGATTCAAATTAGGTACTAATATTTATCCAATTTTTATGATAAGACTATTTCAGACAAAATTTTTCAGATGTGCATTCATTCATTCATTCATTCTTTGGTAACCAAATATTTAAGTTCTCGAGCGTCTCCCTGTTTCGTTAAGCCGTTAATTGCGGCAATCATCGATCACTGTGTTAGCATGGTGGGTTACTGGGCCCAGATGTGGGTTTTCGATGACGACCAATTTCATAGTTTACTTAATACCTCTTCGACTTATTCGTCATTATAAAATGACAATCGAATCTTATAACGATCTCAATTTTTATCAAATCTTAGTTCGTACTCTTGATATAAAGACTCTTATATCAAGAGACTTATACTCTTATATCTATTACTTATTCAATATCAATTAGTTCATTCAATAACCTCGCATTTTTGAGCCAATTGGCGCTAGTGTGCCAAATGAAGAATACGAAACGTCACAAGTGCAATGTCGATCGATTGCGAATGCGTTCAAGAGTAAGCATGAAGGTTAGACTTGTATATGTTTGATTGTTAGTTATGTCGTCGAATTATCTGTTTGTCTAGTTTATTATCTGTGTAAATTAATATTCGATTTGCCAGAACGCGTATTCACATTCTTGTCAGCGGATGAAGTGGAGAAATTGAAGCAGGAAGAGGAAAGGAAGATGGCCAGCATGTCGCCCGCCGATCTACGCTCCTGGTCCCCTGGTGGGGATCAAATCAGCGGTGATAGTTCGCATTCCGACGACGAACCATACGAGAATGGCCACAGGTAAAATAATCTAGGGCCTACCTTTTTTGTACCTGTGATAGTAGTGCCGTAGATCAGCAGTCTTAATTGTAGTTCTAGATTAACAATGCGTCGCAAAAAAGCTTTTCAACGCTAAAGGCGGAACGTTTATTGCAGCATCGGTGAACATGAAGCGTTATTTTAAAAAGAGAACTGTATTTTTATAGTCAGTATTTGTTGGAAATTCCAGCTGTGTGATTGTACCGTTGGTTGTATTGTGAAAATAAATTACTTGAAAAAGAAAAATTTAAAGTCACGCATATCCTTCTCCGTGACTCAAAATATCTATATCAATCTTCGTTACACTTCGCCCAGTGTTCGTGAAAGCGTAATAGACAATACTCAGAGTTAAATTATTATATTTGATCACTTTTTCATTCACGATGATAAATATCTTCAATTAAAAATGCTTAATAAATCCACCACCTCCATCTTAGTGTACTGAAGCAGGTGGATTTAAAAAAAATCAAAGATTCAGAGGTAAAAAACATTAAAAAATATTATTTGTTCATGGTTAAATAATTTATCTTTTTATAACTATCATAAACATCGACGTTGGAAAGTCAATAAATTATTTTTTGGCAAAGAAAAAATGTAATGAACATCCATGGTAAGAAATATGCCAACCCTTATTCGAGTAAACGGGAAATAAGTTTTTTTTTATTTGTTTTCCAGCGTCTATATGTTACCTAGCGATAAGTAGTAAGAATGTTGATCTTCTGATGGAAACATAAACATTGTTCGTATTCATAGTGTGTCATTGGGGGGCGTGAGTCCGTCAGCGAAGTCCCAAAGGCGGCGTGAAAGGCGCGAGGGCTCTGAAGGCGAAGACGCCGCAACTAGAGCAGCGCGCCGCGCCGCTTGGAGGGCCGCCAGGTTACGTTCTTTAGAGCAGGTAAATAACCCTTATCTTAAAAGCAATAAAGTTCATTTTCGAATAGACATCCATACTTCGAATTAAGATTTCTAAATCTTTTTTTTTCAGACAACACATTTTTTTATTAATTTTTTATTCTCTCTAGTATTTATTTAATTTTTATGTTACTAAACGAAAGTACATTTTCTTGATGTGAAAAAAATTTCTAACCAAACTTACACAACGTTTTTACCCGTGTTAATATCAATGTAACTAATATTATATATAGTCTTAAAATATCTGTACTGAGGAGGTCTTGATATATATTTCGAGGGCTGGATGTGGAGCAATCCCTGTTGGATCTCACGTCCTTCCCTCAAATAAGGGTGTACCGGAGGAGGTTTAGTGGGTATGCCATCCACGTTTTGACTAGTCTTCGGGCGAGTCCCACACTTCCCCTGTTGCCTGGAAGTGGTAGGGACAGTGCATAAAGCATTCCCCCTATGACACAAAAAAAGGTCTTGATTTATTAGTAGAGAGTACTGGATGTTCATAACAAATCCAGTTGTTATGAACATTTTATTGAAGATTTAACTTATTCGTTTAATTATAATAAAATGTTTGCTTTTAATTTGAAATATAATTTCATATTAGGAATTGTTGTCTGACCAACTGTTAAAGCGTGATACCATTTATACGTGATACGTGATAGCATTGATATTTTCTTGTAATATATAATGGAGTAGGAAGTAGAAATTTTTTCGCATTATTAAACTTTCCAATTTTAAAACATAACAGGAAGCAATAGAGTCGCAGAAAGCTATAAAGAGCCTGGTGGGTCCCGCAAAAGAAATAATAGGTGAAATCCCGTCGAGGGATAAGTCTCCGTCCGAGGTAAATACAGTATAAAAAAAATTGATTCTCTTGAATGTTGTCTGATTAAAAACACTAAGAACCATTAATTCAAGAGTTGAAATAAATCCGCAGTTGGTTGTAAATTCTATTCTGTATGAATCAAAGTTAAATATAGTTTAGATTTGACAGCTGAGAAATTTGACATTTTAGTATAACCCATCGTGCTGTGGATTATTATCTAATGTGGGCATGGTTCAATTGTTCAATTAAAAAAAAGGTTTCTTTGAATAGAAAATAAGAACAAAAAAAAAAATGTTGGAACGCTAATCATTATTTATTTCAACTCTCACAGAATGTTCTCTCGTAATCTAATAATTTTAATTTGTTTGTTTGTAACAGTTAACACTGAATGATCATTAACAGTATTTTAGTGGGTGTTTCATCATTACAGTAATTTCTGAAATGAAATTTGCAACCCAACTTTTTTTTTGCATATTCAATAGTTTTTTCGACAGATCGACCCTTTTTCTTACCTCGTACAAATTATCATTTTTTTTTCATTCATATTTACGCATCGTCGGTAACACTCCTAACATTTGTGTTATGGTGCATCTATGTCGCTTGGCATTTGTCCGTCCGTGATGGGTTGTGTGGATGTCAAATTGGCTTTAAAAATTATAGAAATGGCCCCTACCACGTATCGCGTTGCGTACAAAACCGGGGCCTATATTAGCGGTGAAGGAGAAGGAAAAATTGTTAGACGAGCGCATTACGCTACGCACCGAGGAATACGTGTGTCCAGCCACCGGCGAGACTAAAGTGCGGACTGTCGAATACATTGAGAAAGTGATTGAGAAAGAGGTACTAGTGAAAGCACTGTAAAAAATTGCGCTATTAGATATTCGACTCGCTGTACACAAGCAATGCCGTGTGTGGTGTTTTATTATTTCTATTTAAAGAGAACGCTTAGCTTTTTGAGTGCAATCGAGACGCGATCGACTTATGACTTGACTTGAAGCGATAACGCCATTCACGACTTTAATGGAACTTAACGATGTTTTGATATGACTGATCGGTTAACGGCGTGTATAAACACTCGATATTAATATTGCGGAGCCTATTTTTAGCGCACTAAAGTATATAATGATATAAATATGCACAAATGTGAAACACCTCCTTTTTAAGTAGTTTGGACGATGTAGATAAAAATATTTTAGAGTATATTAATGGTACCAGGGCTTATTATATAAAAAAAAATCATTAAATATTATGTAATTATTATCCATTGAGTTCGATTTTGAATTAAGTTTTTATGCTGTTATTTTCTACATTATATAATTTTACAGAAAATGTATTTGTTGCAAATTCAGAATCGATCACGTTTCCAAAACATTTGTATATGTTGTCCCCTTTTTAATGATGTTTATTTTTTTTTATGTACATTATATGTCACACTTTTTTGCATGTTTGTGGCATGGCATGCTAATATAAATATTGTGTATCATTTGTCAGACGATACCGGGATTCTAGACACGGGAACACTCACCGAAACACTGAATGGTTTGTCTCAAATATATATATTTTTAGTTAGTATCAATGAATTTGAGGTTCAAACATCGCTTCTATTGCAGCTGAGCTAAATGAAATAACGCACTTTCAACATTAGCGAACTAACATAGTTTGTAATGCATGTTATAATGTATTATTATCCAATAAGGATATTTTTATTTTATTTATGAAACCACGGTCATCGATATTACTTTGTTTTATATGTAAGAAATGCAGTTTACTGGATTAGTCTACTTCAAAAAAGGAGGAGCTTATAGATTTGATTGAATGTTTTTTGTACGTTCCTCGAAAGTTACTTTGGTAATCGATCGATATTAATTAAACTTTCTTTATATGAAAGGCCATTAATATTCCTGAATGGGGTTCCCTTAACTTAACGTAAAACTACGCTAAGCTATGTATATATATGTAAAAAATACATTAGTTTCATACATTTTATTTCAGTGTCTATCCTTCCTCGAGTCATACTTTAGCTACATCAATTTGCAGTATTATACTTTACAAATCAAATTCTCATTCACAAGTCACCCGTATGGAACACCGCTAGTCGTGTCGTATGTGTATTATAAATATTTTAACTCATCACACAATTCTACAGGTGGAGACAACGCAAGAGAAAATAATATCTCTGGAATTGACAACTAGTCCTACTAGCGAGACCGCGCCGGACTTAGAAGAGGCGGGCATTAGTTTAGGGGAGGGGGAAACGGAGGGGGAGAATTCTCTCCAGCCGGATATAGTTCAGGTGGTCAATCCGTTGTTGGATGGTGGCGCCGGCCGCGTTACTGCTATACCCGTTGGTCCAGCGGACAGACTGACTGCGTATACGCAACCTCAATAGACATCCATGATCTCTTCATAGCCTGTTCACATGGCACTGTACTACATCTTTCAGTAATACGTTTAACTAATCAGATTAAATTGTAATTTGAGAAACTTGTACCTTTGCAGTACAAATTAAGTGCGAACGGTTTCCTATCAATGTTTGTCACACTATTTATTCGATGAGATATCGCTAAAATCTTGCAGTATAATGCCGTGTGAGCTTAGTCTTGCTTGCTCTGCTCCAAGAATCGGTGCACCCTAAAGTAAGGATGTTACGAACGATCGATCATTGAATGTTATTAAAAAGCATTCTAAAAATGTTAACAAATATATGATAAGGTCGTGAAGCTTCCTTGAATAATTTAGGATTTTGATTACTCCATGACAGCGCATTGTCTTTTATAACGAACCGAACGAACTCGATTGTAGATTTCTTCAACGAAACGAACAGCGATTAAGCATTGAACGAGTTTTCCATCAACTTTTTTGTATTATGAACTGTGATAATAACTTTAGAATTCCACCGACTTCTTGTGTTACTTAGAGAGAGACTTGAAGAAATCCACCAGCGAGCTTACACATTGATGGCATTTTTGATTTGATCACAATTTTTATTTTTTTATTTTATTTTTCGACGGAGATTTTAGATTTACTATAGGTAATGTCTATTTTGATGTAGAACAATGTTCTAACAGTACTTTACGTATTTAATTTTAATATTTTCATTCCGTGGATTTGATGTTTGACTTATGATTATGGTGATGCTCTAACTATTAAGGAAAATGTTTAAGGGATGTGTGAAGCGCAGCCGCACATAGCGTTCGAATCCGATTTAATTTGCAATATAATATTTTTCTTGTACAGAAACTTTTTTATGCTTGGGAAAATATTTTTCAATAATTTTCTCGGAGATAAAGCGAATCCGTTGTGTGCGGCCAGGCTTTAGTTTGTGGACATATCGAATAATGTCAATGAGATATTATGATTCCATCGATAGATCTAGTATTAGTGCTGTCACTTATTGTAAGTGGTACAAGAGATGGCATCACAGGGCTCCGCCCGATAACCGTGTAAAGTTCTCAGTTTATATCATTATAAACTATTATGATGTTCTCTTTTTATTTTTACTATAGAATTTTTAACATGTCATTTGTTAAATTCTTACAGTATTCTTTGTGTTTACTGGTGTTCTAGTATTTTAATTTTAATGTTTTATTAAATTTTAATTATTTTATGTATGTGGTGCCTTATTCTCAAATGGATTTTATGCAATGTTCTTATTAATTTAATTATTGTTACAATTTATTTCCGATTCATTTTATTTAGGTAGTGTTTGTACAATAGAAAAAAAAAATCTTAATAATAGCCGTAACTTATTTCTTGAATTTACGTCTGTATATCCTGTGTCTACCGTCTTGAAATGTATATTTCCGCTGTAACTATGAAAACTGTTTTGATGAATATTTAATTAAAAGTATCGTGAGGTAATTGTATCGAATGGAAGTATGTTTTTATGTGTGTCCTTTATACCTTTTTAAGGCTCGTAGCGATATGATTGTAAACTAATGAAAATATTGTATGTTTGTCCCAATTAAATGGTTTAATATATATTTTAATAAAAGATAAATAAAATGTTTTATTCAATAAAATTAAAACTAAATCATTATTTTTTTATTTAAATTTGTATTTATAGTTTAATATAAAGTCTATCATCTATATTTTCAAATATTATTTGAACACAATTTATATTCTATTACGTCTAATAACATTAAAAAAAAAAAACTTAAAAATAACTAACTTCAGAAAAATTAACTATTTCTTTGGTGCGATGATACCCTCGAGTTGTGCCTGAAAATATGAAAAATATAATAGAAAAGTGATAAATTTAATCGTTACAAGTAGTTATTGACAGATACTATAGTAGAAGTATTGTTTACGATTTAGAATTCTTTCCACAAGTTAAGGCAAAAACATTTTATGCGGTAACATTATTTTCATAATAATTTAACGCGTAAGTAGGGATGCATTACACAAGATACTTAGTTATATACAATGGACAGCACATCTTGTTTCTAGAAAAAGTCGAATTATAAAAATTATTTTAATGATTCAAAATTGATTGAAGATTTGTCTTCTTTCAATAACATAATGAGCTGCTGTGTCTGCGTGTGTATACAAACATCTATCTATACTAATATTATACAGCGGTAAAGTTTCTAATGTCGTTTGTTGTAAGGGGCAATCTTCGGAAATACTAGTCTAGCCGATCATGATGGTTTGATGGCTGATGACATAGGCTATAATTTACGCGGGCGAAGTCGCGAGACAACAGCTAGTATGTGTATATGTATAAATAAAGAACATTCTTACCTTCAATTGAGCATTAGTCTTCTTCAAAGCTAGCAACTCTTCTTGGTGGCGTTTCTCCTCAGCCGCACGCAATTCAGCGGCGCGACGTTCTAATTGTTCCGTTTTTTGTTTTAACTCCATACATTGTTTTTCAAGGGAGGAGCGCTCCGCTTCCAACTTAGCTACTTGGTCCATTAGGTCAGATTTGCCTTGTTCCGACTGAAAAAAAAATAATCGTTTATTTAATAATAAACATTATAATAGCTTATTAAAGGAGGCTATGCTTTTGGAATACTGTGGTTAGAAACGGGCAGTCTCAGATAAAATACACCACGCGGTCCCAGTGTCGATTGGTGAGAGATAACAGTCCTGATCAACGCACACATATTTTTTTAATATAAAAACTATTATTTTTGTTTTTTACTGATTTTCATAAATTTCTTCAGAAATACAAATGATAATACTTAGAATAGATTTATCAAAGTGATTCTCGTGAAGACTTACTTGCAAAGCTTTTCTCATACCAAAGGCGATAGAACTACAATAAAGAGTTTGATATGCCTCCATCGTTATTCTAGCTTCATCACGTACTCTTAAAAGAAGTAATCCTCTTTCACCGCAATTGATAGTTACCTGAAAAAAGGTTACAACTATTAATTTCATTAGCAAGCGCCATATTATGCATTCTAAACGTACTCGTTTATGCTCGTTTATTCGTATATGCTATCATTTTGGGTCATAGATAAGTGTACCTATTGTTAGATACCTGACGAATCAACTCGTCGAAACACTGCGTGTATAATTGCCGGCGAACCGGGCAAATGCCGGTCTCCCTGGCCTGACGTTGCTGTAGACGAGTATCTAGCATCTCTTGAAGGTTTATCACGTCCAATCGAGTAGCTGGCGTTGAAGAGATCTGAAAAAAAATTTTTTTGTTAAGTAAATATGATTAAAAACAAAAATAATTCAATTCATTATATATATAAGCGCAGAGTCAAATGTTCGTTACTCGTTAAAACTGTAAGAAAATATATATATAATAAATACCTCCTTAATAATATATAAATACCTTCTGTGTCCATATTTGTCCATCTTCTTCCCATTCTTTTGGGGGTAGAATGGCATTTAAAATTTCTTCAGTTTCTCTTTTAGCTTCTGTGGGTATACAAGGTTGTGCAGCTGCTACAGCACCGGGGGAAACCTAGAAATACGTATCTAATTAAGTATTGTTAAAAATCATAGTATAAGTAGAATAAGAGGTGATAAGTAAGACGAAGAATAGGTAGATCTAATAAAACAAGTACGAGTTGGATTCGCACACGAAGGTTTCCGTACCGGAAAAGAGCAAAAGTTGTATGGGAGTGCCCTTCAATATTTGTTTAATTTAATTATTTATTTTTAATGATACTATAGAAATATGTATTCTGTAAATATTTCAAGCGTCTTCCTGTTGTTATCAATATCGAGTAATAAAATCACGTTTGTTGCATGATGGCCCCCTTAAATATTAATTTTATTCTATTTTGGTACTTGTGTTGAAAAATTGAACAGAAATACGTGATTTGTGAAAATTTCACTGTTTAACTTTCAAGGTTCACGAGATAAAGCCTGGTGACAGATAGCGAAGTCTTAGTAATAGGGTTCTCGTTTACTCTTTATCTGCGGAACTCTAAAAATAACGCTACCGAAATGAAACTTACTGCTTTCTCTGGCTGTTTTGTTACTAAAACTGGATTGTCATAACGAACTAATGTTTCTTCGGCAGACACTGGTGCTCTTTCACCCATCTTGAACCAGTCTATAGATTTTCAGGATAGACAATTACTTATCGTATTTATTTGTTCAAGTTATTTGTCTACTTGATTGCATTTATTGACAGTATCATTTGTAAACAAACATATTGAGGTCCATAGCAACCTCGTATTGCTAAGCAACTATGCATTATGGTCGCTGTGTTGTAGCCGCCGAAAAGGTTTGTGTCATGCATTAGGTATACTTACTGTACAGCGTCAAAAATCTTCGAAAATTGCGTTACGTTATACTTGAACGGCCCCTAGCCAACTAATTTTGAAAGAAGGCTGATCCTCACCGATTGCTTTTACCCATTTTTTTGTGGTCGGTATGGGGGGTGGGGTGGGGGGGTCCCCCTCGATTGGTGATTTATTTTATTTTAAACCATATTTCTATACTCTTGAGTTTTTTTTACGTCGGGGTTTTTTTTTCAATCATTATATAAATAAAAATATATATCTCAAAATCTATTAAAGAAACCTTAATCAAACCGGCAAATTCGTTTATAAGTACAAATAACTAAAAAAAAGGACTACCTCGACTTGGAAAAGCGCTTGCAGCTCTTGATCTTGTAAGAACTACCGCGATAAACAAGAATAGAAAAGCAGTACTAATATCAGTCCATTTATTCAAGAACTACGTACGACCACAAACACACAGGTCAAACTTAAACCACCTCTTGAGTCGGGGATTAACCCAACAGCAAATGAAAATTATAATTGTAGTGTAGGTTGAAATAAAACACAATTAAGAATTACAGATCTTGTTTAGATTAATTAAAAAATTACACTGACATAACTCAGAGTTCAAATATTTCGATTTTCATGTCTTAAGACTCCGGAAAATCGAAAAACAAATTATGTACCCAGTCAAATGAATGTATACTTAGCCAACTTCTCGGATTTTTTAATTATTTTAATATCCATGTTTCATTCTGTCAACAGCATATCGAGTTAAATAAAACTGTCACATCTCTCCAAATGATTTCAAACCTTAGTGTGTTGCAAGTTAAGTTTGGAAACTTGCTAAAACTCGATTTTGTGATAGCCTGATATGTTGTTTTGTGTACATCTACAAATTTAGTACTAACTCCCTAGATACTACCTACCAGGACATTTCTCTCGATCTGTTGTCTTTGCAGGGAAATTTGTGAATATAATATGGTTGCATACATTTCGTTTATAGCCAGACGATGCTATACATACAAAAATATTCACAGTATTAATTGAAAAAAAAAAGAAAAAATCTTATATACTTCACATATTTTCATATGGTTTACCATATTTAATTGTTTCTAACCTAATAGGGGAATGACAAGTTTTTATCTATCGTCGGGTACATCATCAAAGAATATTGAACACGTATTTTTTTAACTTTTTGTGTAATCAATTAATTTCGGCGATACATGGAGTTGAAATGTCGCATGACGTCACACCTTTGTACATTTTCTACACAGTCGTGACGTAGTGAGCCCGCACTCTTAAACTTTTATATCTATTATCTTAGCTAATCTTGTTACATTGAAGCAAAAAACCTATCTAATATTTTTCTATGGTCGGTCAGACCACAGTACTAAAGTAGTACTTTAACACTAAAGTACTTATTTTTTTTTACCCAGTCCTCATCCCTATTCTGTTACGAATTTCTGAATACAATATAGTTTCATACATTTTAAGTTTATCCATAAGACACTATACATATAATTCATAGTATGATTGAATGTAAATGCTTATTCGCTTCACAAATTTTACACTTATCTTGAACACCGCATTAAGTGGTGATAATTCAACTATTTTTATATTTTTAACACTACAACAAACTAGTCTTCATTCATTGAGAATCACTACTCGAGCTTGAACTGGAGTCGGTGGACATAACTTCAACGTCTTCCTGAGTATGAGCGTCCTTGCTACGTCCATCGATGGCAACGGAGTTCCCTCCACCCACTGACATATGAAGCTCTCCTGATGGATGCCATGTGAATTGATTCGTGGATGGTGCGGGAACTGAAAAATAATAACAATGTAATGAATGGTTAATTTGCCATGTTTTACGATTACATTTCCTATTGTTTAATGCAAATCTCCTATTTTATAATGCAATTTTATCACAGATAATGCTTGGACTTAAGATGGTCCAGCAACTGGATAGGTGATTTCTTCTAAACTCATTGTATCTCAAAATTATCTTGTTGCTGTTATAATGAAACTATTTCAAACATGAAACTCTATTTATAATGTATTGATCTGATATTGGTTATGGTTTTGTGAATGTCGTTACTCCCTTTAGAACCTCCGTTACCTACCGAAGAAAGGCAAGTTTATTGCACGTTCTTGTTATCAGCTAAAAGACGTCTTGAACGAGTGTTAGGAAAAAAATGTTGGACAATTTAAACGTACTTTAAAAAAGTCTATTTGAATAAAGATTATTTTGACTTTGCGACTATACTTGCTGTGAAAAGAGTATGTTGGGTCCACGAAAATATTGATCATGTTAAATAAGTTTAAGCCTGGGTAACATAACAAAAAATAAATTGTAATTGGTCTATCAGTCAGATAAAAGAAAATCATTAGATATATATATTTTTTGGTTTAATTTAATGAGCAATAGCTTAGATAATAGGCATTACAGTTGAAGACCAAAGGTGTGACGTCAATACTCTTCAATAATCTACCTGACGGACAGACAAAAAATACTCATATCCTATTACTACAAGGTTGTAGCATAACAAAATATGCCCAATTAGTGAACTAAATAATGATAATTAGAATAAAAATAAATAAATAGAGATAATGATAAATAGAATTAAAAAAAAAAACAATAAAATACATTAATCAATACCATTGCAATAAATAAGTGTAAGTTTCCATACAGTTAAGGGCATTAAAAATAAATAATAAACATTGAAACTAAGCCTTACAATCGAATTTACATAGTTCACAACTGATTCATGTCTGGGTCAACTAATAAATCAATTTCTTGAAATGATGAATCAATATTAGAACACTGCAAAACGTATCATTAGATTAATTAGTGTTTATTGAGGAAAATTAATAGTAAAAATCACAAATTACTCAGAATCATTAAAAACCTAACGCTTACATACAGAAAGGATAGGAAGGAGAAACTTGTTATGAGTAATAAATGAATGAACTGTACCTCCTCCGGTGGTACTTCTATGTAGTTCATTGAGTGTCGATGGAGTGTGACCATTGTTAACTGGTGGATCGCTAGGACGACCAATCATTCCCAGCCGCATTTCGAGGTCTGTGGGATATGGTCTACGAGGATCACCAGGTTGCCACGATAAAGGTGCACTGACTGCGTTGGATGCACTGATTCTGTAAGTAGGTGAGTAAAATTAGAACATTTAAAAACACTGCAACTAATCGGCCGCATGTAAGGTTACTATAAAAGGCCAAATTTTGAAATTCAAATTTGAAAATTTTTATAAGTAATGGTGTATTAAACTAATGATAATTTCATTGTAGGTATGTTTTTGCAACTGGGTGATTACTGACAATAATTTTCAAATTTAGAATATTAGACCTTTGAGTCATCAGTAAGCCTCAAAGATTGAAAAAATGACTGGATAAATGGGGTAGTTTCGGTAGTGAATAATAGGTCACAAAATTGCACAAAAACTAAAATTTACTTTATAATAATAACTTAAAATCGCACATTTATCTTATTATCTTAAAAGTCGTGATTTTTGTCTGCATGTCATGTGACTTCGTTTGACTTCACTGTGGTAAAAGGTGTCAGATTTTGTCCCAAAGATGCTTATTAATTAATAATCGAATTCCTAGACAGAGTCGTTCTTAGCTTATTTATATCTTTTGATTTCGTAATGGATCCTTAGATGGTATTGTTCTGGTTTAATTAACATCTTTTAATCTTCTAATGAGTTCTACTTCTACACAAAACAAATGTAACGAATAGAATTTACTCTATGCATTTGCTTTGTGTACATATCAGAATGACATCATGAATATGACAGACAGCATTTTAATGGATATAAAAAAAAAAATTTGTTTAATTTTTAAGGCAAGAAAAATATTAATTTTTTCAAATATTCGTTTTATGCCTTATTAAATTGAAAATAAACAGTAGCAAGTATTATTCAGAACAGTGTAGAATACCCTATTTACGAGTATCATAAAATTTGTCAAACACAATTTAAAATCTGAACAAATTATATAGAAACATGGACACTACTAAGAGGATCCAGTATTGGACCAAAGATAAAAATTTCATAATCCATGCAGATGGAGAATATTTCTAAAACTATAAAAACTGAAATACCTGTGGGCAAATTTTATTAATTCTTCCGATGATACTGGCCTCTTCCTGGATTTAACAATAGATGCGAGCTTCTGTCTAGCTTGATACAATGATGTAGCAAGTATTTGTTCGGCATCTTTCAATTGCCGTTGTAAGTGATGAATATCTTGATCCTTTGAAATTTAAATACACACATATTTATTTAGTGATAAATAAAAAAACATATAAAATTAAATTTTTGATAATATAGTAACTTCCATGAACAGTGAAAGATCAGATAAACAATAGTATATCTAATATATATCTTTTCAAATGATGATGAATTGATGGGCAAGAGAAAAGTAAGAAAAGGGCTAACACATAGAGAGGATCTAAAATAAAACCTTTTCAGATGGTTTAACAATACAAGTAAGATCTTTAATTTTATCGTACAGTTTAAGGATTTATAAATGGGTATTGCTTGTATACATATTGCTTGTTGACATAATAAGATTATGAGAAACAAATTTCCAAAATCAAAACATGACTGATATTCAGAAAATATAGATAAATTACCTTATTATCAACTTCACCTTTAAGTTCATTCATTTTCTGTTGAATCTTAGCTTGTTCTTCGGCCAAATCTAATGTTTTCTTTAGTTCTACATCTTTAGCCAACAACAAATCTGTTAACTGTGCATGGTCAGCAGCTGATAGTTTTTGTGATTTAGGTGCTATAGATACCTCAATAATCTCCCTGAAATTTAACAATAAAGAATAAATTTTGTACGAGAACAGTTTCAAATTGAAATAAAAAGAAAATCTTACTTAGCTATTAGTTCGATGTCGTCGATGAGAGAAAGTAAACGATCCTTAGTGCTTAGATGTGAGGCCATAGTAATAACAAAAAACAATAATAGGGAGGAAGATATTTTTACACAATAATTACTAATTTCTCATCTAGTGTTAAAGCCTGAAAGAATCCGCTTATTTACCGAACATTTATAATTCGCGTTTCCTCACTTTTGCTTGACAATGGATGACAATTGTTGTGACGTCTCTTGTCAAAGTTGTCAATTGATATAGCTGTCAATGTCAGTTATATATTTTTTTATTTTTAAATGGCAACCTGTATCTAAGGCTGGGAGCGAACAGAAATGAGGTTAAAAAATAAAGATTAGTTCTTGAAGTCAAACCAGATGTCACTAGCGATTTTTTAAATACTTCCTCATTAAACGCATATTTTTTATGTAACAATTTTTATATTTTAAAGAACGTGCGACCGATATTTAGGGCAGCTGTATCAAAGGTGGAAATTGCCATGATGATTGACAAACTGCAGTAGCTGATGGCACAAATTGATTTTTCCATTTATTTGATTATTTCAACTGTGATCTTAAAATACCTAAATGACAATTTCACTTATTTTAATAAAACTATTTTATAACCACATGATAGTTTTGATATAATGCTTTGAAGTAATGTAATGTAATTCATATGATGGACGTCCTGATTGGCATGCATCGCGTTCTCTTTGCTCATATAATGCGTGCGATCGGTACGGACGGTGGTAGTATACAACTTCATTTATACTATACAAATTACAAAGCTGTGGTAAAATGAAAATGCATTGCGAACCATGCGTCCGTTGCATGTGCGCGGATAGAGTGGAAACTCGCCATAAAAAGGAAAAATTCTGTAACCAATTTGAATCCAACTTTGAAAATATTAAGGTTTAAAATAGAGTAGTCATGTTATGAAACACAAATTAGACCATTATGGTGTGACGAAAAATTCACTTCATCTAATAAGATCATATCTTTCTGCTAGAATTCAAAAGGTAGTAATCAATGAAGCGAAATCTGCAGGGGCACCAGTTACTATGGGCGTACCTCAGGGATCGATATTAGGACCATTGCTTTTTCTAATTTATATAAATGATCTTTCTCACTTTACGAACAAATTTGTGCGAGACAGTATTATTTGCAGATGACACCTCTTAAGTGTTTAAAGTTAAGAGGGGTAATGATTGTTTTGAGCATGTAAATGATGCTCTCGACAATGTTCTACAGAGGTTTGATAATAATAATTTAAAGCTTAAGCTTAATTCAAAACTCAATAAATTTTTTGTTTATTATCTTTATCTTTATTATTATACATAAAACGGAATATTACAATTATACTTAGTGCTACTAAACTTAAATTCTTGGAAGTTGAAAGAACCCAAAGGTCGCTACTAAAAGTAATGTACTTCTTGCCTTACAAATACTCTACTGAGGCACTGTATGCAAATGGTGACATTTTAACTGTTCGGAAATTATATATTTTTAACTCTGTATTGAAGTTGCATAGATCACTTCAATATGATCCTAATAAATTAAATAATAAAAGAAGAAAACACAAAGTTATTCCTCTAAATACAGTAAAAACAGCTTTTGCTGCGAGACAATATCATAGACAAGCTACTCATTTATACAATATTATTAATAGGACTCTAAATATATACCCATTGAACTTACACACTTGTAAAATAAATGTTTTAAACTGGCTCAAAATCCTAAAATACGAAGAAACAGAACTTCCTCTAAAGATTGACAAATAAGTTGGAAAAGCATTCTTTATCAATATAAAATTAACAATTGAACAATTGAAAAAAAAAGGGCATTGCCAACGCATAAACACACACACACACACACGCACACACACACACACACTTTATCTTTTAATTTAAATACTTACCTATGTTTAATCCGGTCTTGAAGAGCGATAACATCCTGGTACAGGTATTTTTAAATACTTACTAGGAATGTTATCACAAACAAATGTTTCACACTGATTTGATATGTAAATAAACATTTTTGATTTTGATTTTTTTTTTGACTTAGTTCGTTTACAAAAATAGGTAACAACTTAAATTACTCCTCTGTTGCCGAAATAGGAAAAGACATCCTGTATTCCAGCGTATAGCGCCCTAAAAGCCCCATGAATTCATAGAATTCACATTCTATTTGTAATTTTTCGTATTTGTATTGATATCTAAGTTTGGAACTTTTCAAATTTCAGTTTTTTAATATGTTACTTAAAAGGAACGGAAATGACTGACTGCGATCCATTCTTTTCCTGCAAAAATCAACTTTTGCTAGAGTTGCCACCTAGAGGAGGTGCTTTTTTATAGTACTTTCGTTTTTTTAAACACTTCCTCATTCTAAACAATGGTTTCTATGGTAACGATTTAATGCTCTTATCTATACGAACACCCTTTTTTCATACCTTTATGTGCTTTTTTCGGGATAATATATAACATGGACATATATTGCAGCGGACTTTATTTTGGAACTTTTAAAGGAGATCAATTTCTTTCTTTCATCGTTTACGTAACGCACATAGGGAAATCTTTAAAAAAGTAAAATATTCTGCCGTTTTTGCAACATTTTTCATTGTGTTATATATTGAGTCGTTGACTCTCTATGGCACTTGGCGGTCTGAACTGTTTCCCTATTCTCTATATGGTCTGTGGTATTATACGTTGTAATTTGTAACGTTGTGAGATCTAAAAGTTAATAAATACATAATATTACAGTACCTATTAAGTGCGATTATTGGAAACATAAAACATTGTTGCTCCACTCCTATAAATCAAAGCGTGATATTATCGGTTTGCCTATAGACTTTCTCGATAAATGGACTGTTGAACAAAAAAAGAATAATTCAATTCGTTTCTTATAGAGTTCAACCAATTAACAAACTTTTCAACTTTATTGTTAGTATAGATTTGATGTTTTAAATCAAAAGTGTAAAATACAGATTGAGTTTGAGCCACTTAGTATTTGTATAATTATTATAAAATAATTGAAAAGTAGCATAACCGAAACTAGTAAGTAAGATTACTATTTTGGGCCATTGTTGCCAGTGTCACATCGGGTTGATAATATTGCTAAGCTGAGACTGAAACTTACAAATATTTTATATATCAAAATATATATCCATTGATATTTATCAGCGAATCCTGTAATATACTATAACTTGCTGTTGTCTGAGTAGCTTGTCTATGATATTGTCTCGCAGCAAAAGCTGTTTTTACTGTATTTAGAGGAATAACTTTGTGTTTTCTTCTTTTATTATGCCTTTAAGCCAAAGAACCTGCACCCCAATTATACAAGGATCGTTCGTTAATCACGTGAGGCTCGAAAGGAGGGGAGGGCGTTCGTCAAAAATCATAAAATATATAGGAGGGGGTTTAGTAATATATCACGTGTATTTATTTTTTTCCTAAAACGCGTGATTACTAAACCGAAAAGCGGCGTCAAAGATTTTTTGTGGGTAGTGAAAAATATACGTGATTTAGTCTTAACTTTACCATGTATCACCAAAAGGTTGGGGGGAGGGGGGGATTTAAAAATGCTGAAAAACATCACTTGATTAATGGCAGTATACTGTAAATGAGCCGACTCGAAGATCTATACAGTATTCTGTCTGATTCAAAAATTATATGCACGCGTGGCTCCTTGGTTAGCAGAAATATTCGTTACGTCAATATTAGGGGTTAAAGTATGAAATTGCCGTTTTATTTTAATAGGTTCCTTGAATTGACATAGAATCTTCATGGTTTGAGGTTTTTGGAAGAAACTTTTTCCACATGGTTTCTATGACGTTCTTCTTTTAAATGTGAAACATTTGAATATCGACTTTCAATTGTTTTTGTTATTCAACTTAGACAAGAAAGATGGATACTGCGAAAATTCCTGTGATTTTTGAATACGAGTTCCGACGTGGAAGTAACGCGGCAGAAACAGCCTGCAATATCAATGTTGCGTTTAGGGAAGGGTCTGCTAATGAACGCACCGTGCGATTTTGGTTTAAACGCTTTCCCGATGGAAACTTCGACTTGAAGAACGAGGAAGACCGCCCGCACAGGTGAATAACAATTAATTAGGAGAGATGGTGGAAGCCGATCCTATTCAAACTATCCAGGAATTAGCGGCATGGTTTAACGTTACATTACCCACAATATTGACTTGTTAGTGTCAAATCAAAAAAATACGAAAAATGGGTGCTTCATGATTTGACTGATTTGCAGAAAGAAACGCGTATTGAAACTTGTGTTGCCTTGTTGAATCAGTACAGAAATGAAGGAATATTGGATCGGATTGCGACATGTGATGAAGTGGTTTCTTTATGATATAACCGTAAAAGAAAAATGCAATGGCTGAACCTAAGTCAAACGCCACAACAGTGTCCTAAAGCAAAACTTACCAATAAAAAGGTAACTGTTTGGTGGTCTCAGCATGGTGTTATTCACTATAGTTTTACCCGATCTGGTCAAACAATAACGGCAGATGTCTATTGTGCCGAACTCGGAACAATGTTGGCAAAATTAACAGTAAAACAGCCTCGACTCATGAATCGATCTTTACCATTATTTCTCTATGATAACGCGAGACCCCATACAGCACGAAAAACCGTTTTGACCCTTCAGGAACTGTAGTTAGAAACCATTCGTCATCCTCCATATTCGCCAGATCTTGCTCCAACGGACTACCATATTTTTCGTGATTTGGACAATTATCTAAGTTACAAGAAGTTTTCTTCCCAGGAGGCAGTACAAAATGCTTTCGCACAGTTTGTGCAGTCTATATCCTCAGAGTTCTATCGCAGTAGAATAAATGACCTTCCTATGTATATAATAAACGACTTTCCTATTATATAGCAGCAATGTATAGATAATAATGATATTTAACTATTTTGATTAAATAAATTTGTTAAAAATTAAAAAATAAATAATTTTGATTTTCAGCACAAATCGGCAATTTCATACTTTAACCTCTATTAATAAGTTTTTACCTATAAAATTGCAATTATGCCTTACTGGCCATTTCGAATCCAAATATTTTTTTGGCTAATAATTCTAATTTCAAATTAATTTTATTTTAAATACATGGAATTCTTCTTTCTAAAATCGTCATTTGTTTAATAGTTAGCGAAAAAAAAAACATTTTATATGGATTAGTTAAGAATTCGAGTAACTGTGGAGTATGAGTACCATCGTGGCAGCATAGCGGCACAAGCGGCACGCAACATCAACGATGTTTACGGAGCGAACACTATACAAACGATCGCATCACCCATTATTGATTTGCCCGCTTCCGTTCTGGAAATTTTAACCTGAAAAATAACCTCCGTGGTCGTCTGAAAACTTTAGTCGAGTCGTAGCTGATGAAAATCCACGGCTGAATTAGCAGCAGCTTTCGACGTAAGCATCAAAAACAATATTGTACCATTTGCGTCAAATTGGCAAGGTAAAAAAGCTTGACTTGAGAAATAGGTATCCCATAAACTCACACTGCTCAACAGGCATACAAATGAAGGAATTCTGAACCGCATTGTTACTTGTGACGAGAAATGGATCCTGTTCGACAATCGTAAGCGCTCAGCATACGGTTTGGACCCTGGTTCAGCACTCAAACGATGCCTCAAATGAAAACTTTCATCTGGAAAAGTGATGGTCACTATTTCGTGGCCTAACGCGGGTGTAATTCATCAGAGCTTCTTACCAAATGGGACGAGCATTACTGCAGATCTATACTGTGAAGAACTGAACACAATTATGGAGAAACTCGCACGTCTCCAACCAGCTTTTGTCAATCATACTGCACAGCAGACGGTCATCGCCAGCTTATCAATGTCCTCATTTAACTTGCCTACCGAAGCATAGAGGAGTTCGAGGTTATAAATTTTTGTTCACCCATCCTATGACTGGCTGTTGTGAAACTTAACTTTCGCATTGTTGACACCTCTACGCCATCGAGTTCCTCAAGATATAAATAATGTTATTTTTCAAATAATAAATAATTTTGTAATTACTTAAATAAATTAAGCAATGCGTGTTTGTAGTTAGCACTATTTTCTCAGTCGTTTTCAGTTAGTCCTAAAACCGCTTTACTTTAATCGCAATGCGGTTAGAGATTAAGCTTGTGAGCACACTCGGGGTTCACTAACTGTTTTATATGTTTTTTTGATGAGAAGATTAACAACAATAAATATAGGAAAAGAAAATTAAATAATTGAGTGAAATTTTAACCCAAAAGTAACCTTTCACACATTATTTCCATTATTTTACTTCAGTATTATCGAATCACAGATGAATAAGGTACGCTTTATTCATAATAAAATTCTTCAGCTTTTTTTAGTAAAGTAACTTTGAGTCTTTTTTATTTTATTTGTAAAATATTAATATTATTACACTGATCTTCCATGTGAAACAAAGTTAATTGTGATAAAAAGGAAACTCATATAAAACCCCAATAGGTAAAACAAGATAAAACTGTAGTAAAGTACGTATTATAGATCTCCGATAGGTCTTCCTTGTGCAAAAAATGTATAACAAGGCTTTTAGGCAATACTCGGATATAATTAAAATCTATTTTTGTTTGACAGCTAGTTGTTATTCTAATTTCATCACAAGGTAAATAAAAACGGTTGGTTTGTCCTATGTTGTGGCTGTTTTAGCACAAACATTCGACTGTGTCGGTCTGCAAACCGGCTTGTGCACGCAACCGATGCGTGATCAGCTGACGGGGCGAAGGGCGAGGGGAAAGAGGACGACCATGCACTGAGCATGCGCTCACCACGTGCTCGGGCTGTATAGTCACCATAGAGTAACATTATATGCAGATGATTCACTCCCCTGTGTGAGTGATATCGGTTGTATGTTTTACTTTTCCTCCATTGCGTATTACCCATTGAATATTTCTAAGCAATCTTCAAAGTAAGGATTTTTTTAACATACATTGCTCAATAACAAAATCACATAATATTGCTGAGGTTTCAAATTAAATATTTAAAAGTACAAGTTTTATGGAAATTATAAAACAATCAAGGTAAAAAAACAGTAACCAGGTCCGAGACAATATAGAAAAGTTCATTTTCTACATCGATCCGAATCAAATCCGGAATCACGTTAAAGATAGCAAGTTTTTGACACCGGCCCCAACTGGCGCGGGTGTGTGCCATTCGGCCACGGAGGTCGTCAGAGTCTATTTATTTTAAACAAAATATCCTGTTTATTTTAGACACAATATTCAAAAATAGCATTTGTAGTCGCATTATCTAACCTGATTAATAAATGTATTTATAAATGCACAGCTGCACGTCAAATTATCACAATAAGTCAAATTCCCGCAATTTTAAAGTATTAGTTCAATATTATAAGGTTCAAAATAGATTAATTTGACAGTTTTGTATAACTCGATGTGCTGTTGTCTGTACTTGATGTACTATATTTTATTAGCATGTGGCGCAAGTTTCTTTTTTCACATTTGTAGTTGAGGGGTATGTGGCGGTGAGTGCGGGGGGAGTGCAATGTAGCTAGCTTTTCGATCGTCGGGGCTGCTAGCTCTACCGTATAGTCGAGTTCCAGTTAGCATTGGGCGGTCGAGGTGTTATTGGCTCCTCTGCCAATCTAATGGAACAGCGTTCCTTCGAGCAAGTGTCATCTGCGATTGTGTTAAACAAATCAAACATTCGTCATAAACGTGACAACTGCCGCAAACAACAAATTCTGCTCCTGTTATTATGTTGCTTAAACGGATCATTGAAGGAAAGTCCATGTTGAATGCCGACGCGAAGAGTAAAGCGCCGGAGAAATGTTCTAGAAGGAAGTCGGAATGTGACGGCTGTGGCGAACATTCCACGTAAGTCTATTGTTATGAAAAATGGTAAACAATAGCCTATTACCTGATATGTAATGTTTTCTTTTAAAACTTGAGACTACATAAGCGCTCGACTTCGAGTACGAGGCTCTAACAGAATGAAGCAGCTGTTTCTTTCATTTGACGCAAATACAAACAATACAATCGGGTTTTTTAAGCATCATCCATGGAGTAAGCATGGGAATATTGCGGTAAAACTACCACGCGACCAATTCTTAAGCTACAATCTTTCATTAAATAAATCCGAAAAATAATCGTAGTTTTTCTACAATTGATGAGTTATAAGTAATCAAATATAAAATGTAATCAATTATAGGCGTAACTGTAAATTGTCAGTCGAAATTTATTTATGTAATATAAATAAATTTCGACTGACAATTCTAAACAAACAATTACCAATTTATTTTGTAAATATATACTACCTATTACTTAATCTCTGTAATAGGTACGTACATTTTTTAAAGTCAGTATTTCTAACTGACTTTTTCAGTTCTTCTCATATTTCAGTATACTTTTAATAATTATCCGGATCCAATCGTCTCATATGGGGGATGAGTGTTCTGATAACTCGACTATGACTTTCTGGGTCTGATCTCCCACGAGAGGGTGCACGGAGGGGTTTTGATGGTGGTTTTGGAATGATTCGATTGTTTGCATTTAATAGGTTCCGGAACTACTGGACCGATATTAGACACACCCAAAATGCCCACAACATAAACTAGATACCTACATCATTTGTGACCAAGAACAACGTTTTAGTGATTTAATGATAAAATTCATAATAGTAGATAGCCCTTCAATATAGGTAGTACTACACTTCACTACTACTATTTATGGAGAAGTACCGAGTTAAACGAACGCCAGGCTGATATTTGGAATTTTTGTTTGTGATGTTAATCTGTAAGAGTACATACCTGAACATAATCCATCATACCTTCGATTATATAATACTATATGCTATGTTGTTTATGCAACACATTGCTATCAATGACTCTACAACGTCAACATTTTATTTAACTCTTATCTTTTCAATCTTAAAAACATAGATAAACAAGTCATACTATCTGGAGGTTGTTTTTAGAGATTTTTTTGCTACAACTCGATATTCAAGTTCATTGGTCTTTGGTTCAAAACAAATTTTTCATTTAGCATACCGATAATAATGAGTAAGTTGTATTTGCTGATTTAAATTTATATATCACGTTTTAAATCCGGGTTAAAAATAAGTAGTTATTAGTTGATTTAAGTCATATTTATAAACACAAAATATTATTATTTTTTAGTAAAATGAACTTTTTGACACAGATATACTTAGACTATAATTTAGTAAGAGGCCGAAATACGAGTTAAGAGGGCGTATAACGTTAACAAAAAATATCAAAATTATTGTTAACAAATTAATCAAAATCTAAATAATTTGTAAATAAGAAAGTTCTATTTCTAAGTTTCTGGGTTATAAGAAAAAAAAAATACAGATTTTGATAATGCTGAAATTTTACGATATTCCATTTCTTTTCATATATTTTCGTAGTGTTTTGATGATCATTAACAAATATGTAAATCACGCTTTAATATCTTGATAGTAATTTTTTATATTTTTCAATGTTTATTGCGCGCAAAATGATTTTAATTTCATTGCCTGGCATTTGAGTGTCAGCTTGACTCGAAAAATTCTGGTTATCATTTTTTTTTAAGTTTAATATGATAAAATTACTATATCAAACTGGGGTAACGATTGTAAATAACATACCTTTTGCTTTTATCAGAACATTAAACGATTTAAAATATGAACCCTAATCAGATGAAAATAAAATAGACTTATAGGAGAAATGAAACTTATGCTTGGTATCAGAGTATTGCAACCACAGGTTCTAGTTCGAAGGGCATAAAGCGTAGTTGGCCTACCTGATACAACCCGTACTTAATAGATTACCCTCGCATAGCAGGAAGGAGCCAGGTTCCACATTTTTAATGTATCGGGTACATAGACTAACGTAATTTCTGAACACGATGGTAATATTCAACATAAATAAGAATTCAAAGCCAAAATAGATGAGATTGCTTCTCGTACATTAATAATTATGCTGTATCTACTTATTAGATAAAGACTGCAAACAAAAGAATTCTAAAACAACATTACATATATATTCATTGCCAATTATCGTGCCACAGTAAATTGACCTAAGATGCTCAGTTTCACGCTATGTGCAGGAATCATTAGTGCATCCGTTAGTATGATCATATAGTTTATAAAATAGTCTCGCTGTAAATGTTTATTGTTAGTTCAAAACATAACTGGCGAAAATTATTATATAGACTTAGATAAGTGCAAAATTAAATATCCACGTGTAATATACTCGTGTAAGAAATTGTTACTGTTGTTATATCTTCTAATATTTAGCGTGTCTATAACTAGAAAACTAATTGCTTATTAACGATATTCTTATCAAAAGTCCGGGGGCTCGTCTCACTTATTTTGTATTGGAAATGACGAAAACATAATTATCTAGTTGAATGAATGTGTGTATTGTGCATAGAGTCGGACATAGTTATCTAAGGTCAATACTGATACCCTTCTGGTATAGAGCTTATTAATAAAACTGTTTACTGACACAATTGCCGATCAGTCTCAATTAGAACTTCACAAATAAAACGCGTTCGATGTTTAATTCTACTCTTTGTCAGAGGTAGGTGTTACTGTACTAGAATATAAATGTACAAATTATTTAAATTATGTTCTAACATTATTTTTATTTACACGCGTTTACTTTGTTGCAGTATTCTTGAAGAAATGATGAAGGTGATATTGCTCGGTGTGGTGTTATGGGCTGGTGTGACTTTTGGAAGTGCCGTCGCACCCTACCCATTGAATTTGATACTTAATAGTGGTATGTATCCATAAACTTGTTACTTAAATGCAATGACGTTTGTCTTGAACTGTCGAGAATATTAACTAAACCTTTGTTTGACTTGCAGATACAATTCATCCGCCGCCAATGTACGACTTCCCGTTTCCAAGTGCCGAAAAGTTAAGAAGGTTACCGCCTGTTACTACGGCGCATACAAACAGATCGATAGATTTCAGTAAATTAAGTGTATCTATGCTTGAAAGATTGGAAATGAACCTTCAGTCAGCTGGCATCAAACCAGAGACGGGATCTGCAGCGCAGGGGTTAGCTATTTATGGATATCCCTCTGATGATGCCATGCATTATGAAGAATCGTCAATGGTTGTGACAAAAGCTTCGCAAAATTTGGTTCACACTCGATGTGGACGGTAAGTGTCAAAGGTTACTTATTTTATCGTATTTGGAGGACACAATAGTTTTTGTGATAGTTCAAGATGTGCTCTTAAGAATGAGAACATAAATCTTGAATGCATCAGAAAAATACGTTCTTCATAAAGCGAAGGTAAGTTTTAAAGTGGCGAGACTCAAAGTGGCTTGTTTGTTTAGATATGGTTTGGCGAATGATGAGTGTGCGAGTTTCATCAGCACTTTGAACTTGCGTGAGAGTGAGTATGGAGGCGAGTGTGCGGCACTTGAGCGGTTTACTTGTCGCAGCAACAAGATGTCTTCCCGATATCGGACCTTTGATGGGTCGTGTAATAACCCCGTGCGGTCTTCCTGGGGCCAAGCTCTCACAGGCTACAAGCGGCTCTTGCACCCGAGATACGCTGACGGTATCGAAGAGGTTTGTGTTTTAATGATTGATTTATTGTTATTTAGTGCATTCAATAGACATAATAATGTACATCACTAGGTAATGAACAATGAAGATTATTATTATTTTATTGAAAAGAATTTGGAATTTTAATTGATGTTTTAACAATTTTTGCAGCCAAGACGTTCGTTGAGTCATAAAGCCTTGCCGTCTGCAAGATTAGTTAGTACAAGGATAGGAAATAATTTGGACAAGCCCGATGAAAAGAAGACTATTGCTTTAGCTGTATGGAGTCAGTTCATTCATCACGATTTAGTTCACACGCCTGTTCGGAAAACTAGTGAGTAGAACATTTATTTGGAAAAAATACTATCAGATAGTTAACGTAGCGATGTGATGTAAAATTAACTACAAGGAATTTGAATTCTCATCAATAAATAAAATTGCTTAAGAATTTCTACTTTTCTGAAAATGGTACCCCGAATAAATACTTTTCTACTAAGGGGACTGTAATTAACTCTACCACGGATCGATGAAAGCGACCGCGGTTGTCTAAGTAATACTTAGCAAATCCTTCCGATGTAACCACACGTGAGGGGAATGATCCAGGATCCGGCAGCCATGGCTTAATAACGTTTGAACGACAATCATATGTTCCTGGTCCAGTATACTGCAGGAATGGAATTGTAACGTACTCATTCTAGTTTGCTGTTTACCGCTAGAAATCTGCTTTAAGAAGCAGGCTTTCTATACCGGGTGGTACTGCTAAAAATCTAATAAAGCAACCTTAGGGAGACTCTTGTCATCATATTAAACTTGAATTCCCTTTGTTAACAGTTCACACGAACCAAGCGATCCGTTGCTGTGACAGTACTGGGTTCCAATTGTCACCTCGCTACATCCATCCGAGCTGCATGTCTATCTCCGTGCCACACGATGATCCCTTCTACAAGGGCAAATATGTCTCCTGCATGGAGTATACTAGATCGGTCACCACCTACAGAGGCGACTGTACTTTTGGAGCTTCAGAACAGGTAAGTTTCTTCTGAGTTTACATTAGCATAAATAGTGTTGAGTTTATTTGACTTATAGGCATTTTCTCATTAGACGTGCTTTGTTAGAAATTTGAAACGAATGTTACAGGGTTTTTTATTTCAATGAAAATTAGAAATTTTTGATGTGTAATCTTTAACTTAATCATGAATTGACCTTCTCTACAGCATTCGAAATAAGTAAAATAGAGAAGATGATGACGAAATAGTCAACGAGACGATATTGAATATAATGCAGACTTCTCAATCTTGTTTTTAATAATGTTTTATTTAAGAATGACTTCACATTTTTAATTTTATCGGCCTTCTTATCGAAAACAGGTTGCAATTATTTACCACACATCTGGTTGCATAATTTTACTTCATAATTAATTATATAGTTAATGAAATTATCGTCACGAGTCTAGTCAGAATATAAACAAATGCTTATCAGAAAACTTGTCTGATTCAATAAACTAGTTATATCTCTATTTTATATATAAACTAGTTTGATCTCATGGATTATTCAATTTATCGAATGTCAATATACTTAACCGAGCTCGTGATTCTGAATCATTGTTTGAAAAATATTCAAGGCCATTATAAATCATGATGTTATTCCGTGATCGCAGTTTTAGTGTTATTGGATATTGGTTATTCGCTTAAGGAGGTTTATTGCATACTATACTATTTTTCAATTAATAATTTTTTCTTCGATTGTAAAGTGACTTTCAATTGGGAATATGAGTCGCAATGGAAATAATTTGATTCGGTTTTGATTATTGTCAATTATTATACGCCACTGTTTTGATTAACATACTAGATACAGTTTTGAGTTTTTATTAGAATTAAGTTTTTAAGAAGTTACAGCTATAGCAAGTTACAGCTATATTATTTATCGAATTGATTGTTATAACATCTGGTATTAGTAATGCAGGCTTTCTTGATAGATAGGTGAGCGTAATGTATGGTACAAACTTTTTTCTTCTATTTACTTCGGGTCTGAACTAGTCTAATCTTTAGAGTATACATACCCTGAAAATTTAAATACAACGATTCAGTTTTTGAAAATATACCTTTCTTATTTAGGTATTTGTCAAGGAAACTACTACAATAACTAATTGAATACCATTCGACTAATTCTTTACCTGAATGTTATGGTACCGCCGATATTTGTTTTGCACACTTTAGTTTGATTAGGCGTAACTTTAAAAGTCCTAGCATATTGTTGTTCAATATTAAAACAAAAACAAATCAATTGAAGATTCTTTAATAAGAATTTATTGGAATCCATTGAGCTTGTTTGCCTTTTAATGGGTGCTTTAGCAACTACTGGAAAATTTATTGCCTGCTTCAGTGCGAAAGTCAAATAGGCTGAATCAATACAAAATGATTTAGGTATTCCGAGGTCAGCCATTTTTTGGGATGAATTAGATGATTGATTTTAATGGATTGCCAATATAACCCGACCTTTTGTGTCAATGTTCTTTAGTAGTATTAGACAAATGTAATAACTTATAGGTTTGTAACATTAAAAACTTCATAGTTGTCTTTAGATATACTGATCTTTAATTTTAAGCTTTACTGAATTCGCGCTTTTTGTAAAACTGTCCTCGCTATCTCAGCGATATGACCATAAACAAAAAAAATTGTATCTTTATTAAATTTATAGTGTTCTGAAAGCTGACCAAAAGGATGAAAAAAAAAACAAAGGTGACTCTCATATTTGTTAAAATGATTTCACGTGTTCCCAATATTTCATGTTAAATTTAGCTTGTGTAAGTGAATAGCCACTTTTTCTTTTTTCTATGACTTTCTAGTGAAAAAGTGAATCTTAAGTCCATATTTATAAGGAACTCATATTTATCGGCAGCCATTATAGTACCTACAGGTAATTGAAACTAGTTAGTGAGGATGTGAGCATCGTACTACAACCTGCTCTTAATTTAGCTCGTTATGGACAATTGTGCAATGACAATAGAGGTAGTGCTGCGTAGTTGCATAACAGGATTGATAAGACAATAAAGCAAATATAATCTCTAAGTAATAGATTTAGAGCTAAATTTTTAAAGCCGCTTCAAACATTAAAGGGTTAGCATTGGAAGCAATTCTGTTGCATAAAGAAAACTATTAGTTTTATTTGCGTTGAAAACGCAATTTCTAAATTTAAGATAATTATCGACTTTAATTATAATATACTAGCTTTGCGCCAGCATCTGGTCGGATCTCTAGGGAACTGTTTTATTGGATATCGATTCATATTATGACACGGATGTAATTACAATAACAAATTGAATAGTAAACGATGGTTACTATGGTAACGTTTTAATTCCCAATAAAAATTTCCACTACCATGTCCATCCCTTTTTTTGCTGTTTTTTTAAATAAAATATATGCAGATAATGTAGCTTCCCGTAGGTGAAAGAATTTCAAAATCGGTACAATTATTCGGGGCCTATTCGTTGCAAACAAACAAACAAATCTTTCCTCTCTAAAATACTAATATAGACGACGGTATAATCATATTTCTTTAATTACACGTGGGAATAATGTTTAAATCAATCCATTTAAAAATTAGATTTTTCTATAGTGTAAGAGAGTGGTACAATATGTCTTACATTAGATTTGCTAAAGTTTGATGTAGAGACTCCTGCTATGGCTATTCTTTGGTTGCAAACGAAGCAGTAGACCCCATTTTATATTCGCCGCTGTTATACAATTATAGTTTTTAAACTTTTTTGTTTTTATATTGCCCTTTTTATCTTATTACCGATTTAGGACCCTTTTGGACTCTAGTTAATACCAATTGTAAGTATTACGTTTTTGTGAAAGAAATGTTTTCAATTCACACATTAAGAACCTATTCCTCTTCGTTAATAGTCTGTGATCGTTTATTTGTAGTTTTTGGCTAGAATAATTATAATAAATGAGTTACTTCAACAAAAAATAATGATATAGGTATATTATGTTAGGTACAAATGCTATAAACAGCTAATTTGTAATATTATGATTTTTTAATTGTAGGTTCTGTAAATAAGAGACGTAATTATTTTCCTTGAGATAACGTTGTTATTTAATTAGTGTTAGGTATAATTCAATACATATAGTTAATAATTATATACCTAAAATCTCTATTTTCATCTCTCTTTGTTTACATTATTGAAGGTGATATATAAATTTGTAAATGTAAAACTAGTATTAGAAATGATTTTTACTTTCTAAAATATTAAAAAAAAATACTTTGAAATCTCATCAATAACGAAATATACTTATATACGCAAAGGAATTTGAATCAAATTAAATGTTAAAGTATATTTAATTGCACATGTGGTTGAGCAACGGAATGAAACGGTTAAAACGTTTTGCAAATATAAAAAAAAAACTCAAATTATTGATTGTGCCATTGAAGTTTTAATTTGCTAACCTTGGTGACTATTTATACGGAGAACATAAAAAGCAGTGTCCTTCCTTATTTATAAACATGACCGTAAATATTTTATGTAACGATTGCGATACTATTGGAATACTTATATTAAATTTTTGATAATGTTAACTTTTATATGTGCGGACAATGAGACGTAATTATTATTCATTAGGTAACTCTACTCTTTAGCGTGAGAAATTTTAATCGCCCGGATTGCGAAAAGTTGTGAGTTCGAGTTCCGTCCGGGGTACTTGGCTGGGGCTATTGGATGTAAACCTTTTACTTTAAATATGTTTATCACTATATAACTATAAGAAAATTGATCAGAAACATAAATAATTTTTATTCTATTAGAAGAGATCGAAGATGCAGTGGTCGGTCATCGGTCATAGGATGGGTGACCAAAAATATTTCGAGCTCTTCCGTGCTTCTGAAGACCCGTTAAACCGTTGGTTCTGGCTGCATCTGCTGTCGTTAATACCCTCCAACCTCATTGGCTCTATTCAAGTCGATTCCATCCATAGTAAAGGCCTATACCCCAGCGGGGACATTAATATTGATAAAAAAAATTCTTGCTCATAATATTGAGTCATAGTTAAACTTTTTGGTTCTTGCTACTATCGCAGTCGTACACACCAGCCAGTCTGCACTGGTCTCATGTAGAGGTCTACGTCCGTTAGAACTAGTTAAACTAGTTAATCCGCACTTATTTCACATGGCGAATCATGACCAGTTCTCTTTTTGTTATAGAGAAGGATTTTATTTGAAGAGAAGACTTCTAATTAAGTGTGGACGTCTTTAGGAAACTGGGTTATTAGCCTAGCAAATTATTTTCTAGTCAACGTCGTCATTTACAGCCTATGGCATGTTAATATATGGAATATTTTCTTTATAATAATAGTAGGCAAAAATAGTAAAACGGTCACTCGCACCTTTGAATAACTGTTTTAAATCATCTTGAGATTAGATAAACTGTATGTATATAATATTTATATAATACATATGTGCATTACTTCTATGTCATAAAAATACCATCCCTCGGTTTTTAATAACAGTACCCTAATGAAAAATACTTAAAAAATCCACGTTGTTCCTGACACTCTAAGATGGGACTCGAACCTATGAACCCATGAGCTTATCCTTGTTAATGTTCAGGCAAGGTAAAAGCAGTCCTCCAAATTGTGAAAGATCATAAATTCGAGTCCCATTTCAGTGTGCCAGGGACAACGTGGATTTTTTTAGCATTTTTCATTAAGAATATTTTTCTGTATAGCATTGTGAATGGGGAATCGATTATATGTAATAAATAGTACCCTAAATAAATATCAGTAGTAAATAATAGTACAGTATCTCGGTGGCGTAGTGGATAAGAGCCGCGGCCCGCGATCGTAGTCGTTAAGCAACTTTCGCAAGGGTCGGTCACGGGATGGGTGACCAAAAAAAAATTATTATCTCGAGCTACTCCGTGCTTCGGAAGGCACGTTAAGCCGTTGGTCCCGGCTGCATTTGCAGTCGTTAATACCCTCCAATCCGCATTGGGCCAGCGTGGAGGGTCATGGCCCATCCTCCTTAACCATCCATAAGGAAGGCCTGAGCCCCTGCAGTGGGGACGTTAAAGGGCTGATGATGATGATGATGATGATAAATAAATATCAGCCAGTTGCACAAACAAATTTGACATTCATTAGAGTTTAAAGGCGACATTAAATCTTAATGGACGTTTGTGCAACTTACCGTTTATCTAGTTATTTGTCTATGCTATCATAATAACCACAGCCCACTTACTAGACTGCGTATACTCTATTTTTAGTTGACCCTATATTCGTCAATCAATATCTAGGACATAATACAAAGAATGTTCTGGAAACTAGGTAATTCAGTTAAAATGAATACAGATAAGGTGTCATAATTCGGTAAAAAGAAATTAGACTTCCACCAAGGAATTCAATAAGCGCGTAATATATCTTGTTTCATAATAAATAAATAGATATCATATTGCATCTACGATTTGAATGAGTAAGTCGTACGTGACTCTTTAAAATGTAAACAGTGTTAGTGGAAAATTTCTGACGATACCTTTACAGACATTATATAGCACACAATGGAGACAGCTGCTGATGTTTACAACGGATGTTATAAAGAAAGAGTCAAGTATCAAAACAGTAATTTCTGGAACAGCTGAATAATATTAGTATTGTTTTATATCGGGCACGTAGATATTTAAAACTCATTGTACTATTTTGGTAGTTATACTGTAAATTATTAATTTTGAAAGATCAAAGAAGTTGATAGTTTAGTTGTTGCGTAGTATTTCTTCGGAGTTGAATAGTGTAATGGAAATTTGAGAATATACATACTTCTACATAGTTAAGATGACATTGCTGACGTTTATAACAACGTAGGTATTATATGTTAACCACAGATACCTATTTTTGTTGCTTACATATGAGAGGAAACATATGTTAAAGCATATGATACCTATAGCTCGCTCAAACCATTATTATAAAATCATATTTTTGTCTCCATGTAAATATAAAACTAAAGAACAAGAAAAAATGCAAATCTAAGCTTTCTTACCTTTTCAAAAAGTTAAAATGGGGAATAATTTTTACTCTCTAATATAGTACTCGTACCTCCGTTCAAAGGCTCGTTTAATATAATTTTCTTAGAAATTCCCAAGCGACTTTAATCGTTAAAAAGAATGTGTAGGTCTGAGGAGGCCTAGACCTAACTATGGTTATTGACGACTGATAAATCGACTGTTATTTTATGAATAAGCGGATATTTCTCGGTTCTTTTTTATCCCATGTGCGATACAGTACATTTTGGGATATCAAGTCACACTTTCTTTAATTTCCTTTTTTTAACAAAATATTTATAATAAATGTTCTCTTACAGATGAACCAAGCCACTCACTTCCTCGATGGATCCAATATCTATGGTTCGAACAGTCGTGATGCTGCTGCACTAAGAGAAAAGAGCGGCGGTCTTTTGAAGACTTCCACCTTCGAAGACGAGGAGTTACTTCCTCTATCCACCAATCCCACTGAAAAGTGTCTCGTGGGCAGCAGCTCGGAGATTTGCTTTAATGCTGGTAAGTCCAATTTCTGATTTTGCGCAATAAGTTTTGGAAATTAAAGGATATAAAAACAAAAAAAATCAAGAATTCTTACATAAGTTACCAACAATTTAAGAAGATATGGACAGGACATAAGATGATAGAAAAGAAGGGAAAATGGACATTGACAGGGTGGTGTCCAAGGAATAACAAAAGAAGTAGACATAGACAAAATAAGAGACGGGAGGATGACATTAAGAGAATAACGGGTCCAACATGGGTGCGCACAACAAGAGACAGAAATGAGTCTAAATTAATAGAGGAGGCCTTTATCTGAAGACGAGTTGAAACAAACTAATGACCGTTTCTCGATATTTATTGTTCTGAGGGTACGAAATATTAAATCCTTTGTTATGCTGTTTCTCTCTCCGTAAAAATTTCTGCTGGGTTAAGAGAATTGCTGTATATTACCATCTTGTGTCTCTCCATTGTATTTTATAATCTGCTTACAACGATATGCCGTGTATAGATAGTAGGAGAGTGTTTATAGTATAGACTGCCGTGTTTTTCAAATAACTTTTTCATACCTTAAACTTTAAGTAAATTATTTTGAAAGTCAGTTCATCTACGATTACACCTATTGTAATAAACATAGAAATACTATATACCTAAGCCAAATTATGAGAATTCAGTTCATGTATTTAGTAATTACCTTTCTGAATTTATTCATTCTATATATAGCATAAAACGAAGTTGCTTCCTGCTGTCTGTACGCTTTAAACAACACAACGGATTTCATAATAATGCTGTTCTTATAAATTAAAAAAACTACGGTAAAATGCTGTCTTAATTTTACGTGTGTAATGTTGTTTTTTTCTAGACTAGACAGCATCTTTATCTAAGTACATATATTTATGTTATCAGATAATTTAATGTTATCGTGATAAAACCATATAAAATGAGTAAGGAGTGAGGATTATGTTCTTACACAGATCTTTTTATGATAAGATAGCAAAGGTTTTGATATTTGTAAAGGTTTAACAGGAATTTAAGGTTTATTGTGATTTGTTTTACATTACAAATGTACAGCTTCTTTTCTCAATATTTTATTGCTATAAATTATACATTTCTCAAATGTGTGTGCCAGCAAAATTGAACTTGCATTTTCAAAGTCAAAGATTTATTTGCAAACTATTATTTAATTAATTATGTATTTAGGTTTAAATATTGAGGGACATAAATTTCAGCCACGTAAGGCAGATAACCTGGTTTTGGCCATTTTAAATTATGACTTAATTTTGACCATTTTAAGAGTTACGAGTAAGTGGAATTCGACATCACAATTGTCAACAGTTTTGCTATAATGCAATATTTTAAAAACTGTTCACGGTAAAGTAATATGCCTATGCATTAGTTATATCTGATAAGGGAGTAGTGACCAAAACTAGGTTTTCTGTCCCACATCGGGGACCGATAAACAATTACTGTCATTGTTATGATATGTTATACATTCCATGAGCAGCTCGGTGGCGTAGTGGATAAGCGCTTCGGTCCGCGATCGTGGTTGTTAAGCAACGTTCGCATGAGTGACCAAAAAAATATTATCTCGAGCTGCACCGTGTTCCGGAATGCATGTTAATACCCTCCTAGCTAGGGCTAGCGTGGAGGGACATGGCCCATCCTCCTTAACCATCCATAAGGAAGGGCTGAGCCCCTGCAGTGGGGAATTAAAAGGGCTGATGACGATGATTCATTTTATTTTACTTAATAGATTTTTATTTTAATTCACAGCCGATGTTCGTGCTAATATGCACCCATGGTTGACCAGTCTCCACGCACTATGGGTTAGAGAGCACAACCGTATAGCTAAGCAACTGGCTTTCCTCAACCCTGAATGGAATTCTGATAAACTGTACCACGAAGCGAGAAGGATTGTGGTGGCTGAGCTTCAACATATCACTTACAAGCATTGGTTGCCGGCTCTAACTGGTTGGTTCCTACTCGTATTCCATTTCTAAGATAGTATGAAAATTAGTATGTATTCTATTCTTTTATGAAGATTGGTAAAAAGATTTTATGAAAAATTTGTTTTAAGTGCACAATTTTTTATTGTATTTAAGTGACTTTCATAGAACATATTATCGGAGAATTTTATTTAAATAGTAGTAAACGAACTGTTTGTTGGGTATATGGTAATGACAAAAAGCGGTATATCTCACTTAACGATTTGTTTATAGCCATTTATAATTTTTTTTTGTCTCCGATCCGGCGAGTTAAAAAGAAACGATAAAAATATAAATATTAAATTTTGTGCACTGACAATTTTAATATATTAAACTAGCTTTCACCTGCGGCTTCACCCGAGTGGAATTCAGTCATTATCGCCCTTCGTAAAACCCGTTTAAATTTATTTTTTTTACATTACATTTACATTAAAATTGACTTAATAGTTTAGGCGTGGTACTTTCACAGTTACTTTCGCGTTTACATTATTAAGTATCGATTGTGATAAAATAACAATTCATTATTTACAGGGAAAGGATTCGACGAGATGTACGAGTCTTACGACGTCGGCTACAATTCTGACATCGATCCTACAATCACCAATTCATTCGCTACCGCCGCTTTCCATTTCCTGAACAGTCTTCTGGACCAGGACATAGAGTTTGGAGATAACACCACAAGGCTTATGGACAGTTACTTCAAACCGGAGATATTAACGAAGAAAGGTGCTTTGCAGAAGCTTATGAAGGGTATGGTGACACAGAAGAGTCAAGAAATGGATTTCAACTATGATGATGACGTATGTATTAATAATTTAATATCATTAATAGAGATGCTTTGTTATTTTTATACTTAAAAAATATAGAATTTTCCACTATAAATATTAAATTTTAAAGACATAGATAGATAGAAATATTAACCATTACTTACTATAGATTTCTTCTATAAGTTATGTTCTGCGATGGAAATAGAATTATCCTATATTTTCTGTGGTCTAGGAAGTAGCGTGTTTATTATTTCAAATATTCATAATACATGAGGTTTACAGTCTAATGTTAATTGTTAATGATGACAAAGTACAAAATACTTTCTTTGAGGCTAATTTTTATAATAATAAACATTCTACTTACACAAACTTACATTTATTCGAGTCGGTTAATATGACTGTTTTATATTAGTTACCATATACCAGAAAACATTATTGCACCAAAATCGTTTATAGAACTTTAAGCAAATACAAACATATGTTAGTGGAGTTATTAACAGTTTCAAATCCCCAGCATATTTTATCGTAAAAACGTCGTGCGAATATTATATTCATACAGTATATTAAATTCGTCCTTATTTGATTAAGAGACGATTAAAGCAATTAATATTAATTAAAAAAAAACCAAAAGGTTGGCCTTTACTTTTGATTACATATTAAAGACTATATTTATATTTTGTCATATAGTTACGTCAGAATTGGTTGGGAAGTCTGGACGTGCTGGCTGTAGATATACAACGTGGCCGCGACCATGGCTTGCCTGGATACGCTCAATACCGCGTGTTATGTGGATTACCTCAAGCGACCACTTTCCAACAATTCATCGATGTCATGCCACAAGAGGTAAGATTATTTCATAATTTTGATTATCAGCTTATTAAGAGTGAGCTGAAATCCAGAAAAGAACTTCATCCCCACACTTGCATCACGCACACGACACGCAGTTTGTGATTTTATTATATCAAGAAAATTTTATAAATTCATGTTTGGCTGGGTTGCTTTTATAAATTCATATAAATTCATGTTTGCCCATTAGAAATATGATGTAATCTTGTCATATTTACAGCTTCTTTGAACGTCATTTCTTTGTATAAAAGCTATTTAATAACTTTAGTTATTTTTGGTGGACGCGTCCTCTTAATATCGTCACGTTGTATGTGTGCTTTTGATGTGCACGGAGGAGTTCAAGATAATTTTTTTTGGTTAATTTAAATAGTAGTGTTCTGACTTGATTCCATTGTTAGGGATGCGACCGCCAAACTCCTCACGACATTTTAGGGATGCTATGACAATATCTCAAAAATTAATAAAATAATAATATTTTTGTGTTCAGATGGTGGAAAAGTTGGCCGCGGTATACGAGCAGCCAGCTGATGTAGACCTGGTGGTCGGCTTGATGGCAGAGAGGCCTTTACAGGGTTCACTATTGGGACCAACAGCAACTTGCTTCCTGAGTTAGTATTCATAATGGTCTAACAGAATCTAGTATGATTGCCGAGAGCTGTTGATAAATGTTATGATTATGTTGCGGAATACTGACTTATACCTACTGTTACTTAACTATAGTGTGGCCGGTAGTTATTATTTATTATTCTTTTATACTGACTGAATACTAGTTGGCTGTCTATACATTGTATAAATCGAAGTCGCTTCTCGCTGTCTGTACGCTGAGATCCTTCAACTACACAACGGATTTTAATGCAATTTTCGTCAATACCTATACATAATGATTCAAGAGGAAGGTTGATATATCGTACACCTAGATTTAAACTGAGTGCCGACAGCCTTACCATGTTTTTGAAATATTATTACTGGCCTCTTTAAGGAGGCTTTTATACTTGTTTTTAATTAATTATTTTTTTTATTTTTTGACTTTGTCAATGTATTCTCAATATATGTTGCCTTTGTACGTTGATCAATAAATATTTCTCTGTGCTAAAAATTATTATTATTAAACGATCTACAGTCCTCTGTTCTTGCTGTCGATTAAACTGAGACAACTCAAAAATTTAAGTGAGTTTTAACTTAGTACAATATTCAAATACTCGGTGATCATACGCGTCTATCCAACATAACAGATTCAATAAAGGTTTGGGGATGAGCCGCTAGATAACTTTAGCTTTCTTTTGTTGAATCAACAGTGGTCGCGCTCTTTCCGCGTAAACAAATGTATACCTCTACATACATTTGTAGGTTTGTGTCAGACCTCTACATTAGTTTTTTGAGTTGTCTTACTTAGAAATCTAGGTGTGCGATATATAATACAGCACCACGTGGGAATATACCAATATAACCTATTATAATAATAGTTTTTATTAATTATAGCGGCAATATTTATTGATTACGACCTCCGTAGCCGAGTGGTACGCACGTCGGTTTCAAGGTGTCGCCATCTCTGAGGTTCCGGGTTCGATTCCCAGTCGCGTCAACGTTGAAAAAGAAATTTTCTATATTGTCTCGGGTCTGGGTGTTTTGGTACCTTCGTTGTCTCGGATACTCCATAATACGGGGACTTTAACTACTCATCTTGGAATCTGGGCAATGTATGTGATGTTTGTTTAATAATAATATTCTATGATAATAGTCAGCTTCGAAGTCTACGTCGATCATAGCTAGAGCTTCAATGAAATAAATTACTTGTACATTATGAAGTATGTTTTATTTAATTGTACCTCTATGCTGCGACATACCAACAGCTCATCGCGTGCTCATGTCGTGGTCGATTTTATAGCACTTCGGATCAGGATAAAAAAAACTGTAATTTTCCTCCATTTCTAGGCCTTATTTGATTTGATCAGCTCTGTAAATAATACTTTGACAATATAAGAGGTTTATAGTACATTCACAAAATATAATATAGAAAGAAACGAACTCATTATTTATATTTTTCTTGTAGAGGAACAGTTGTGGCGCACGAAAACTGGTGACCGTTATTTCTATACGCATATGGACGAAGCGGGGAGCTTCACTAAGCGCCAACTGGCTGAAATAAAGCGGGCGACACTCGCGCGACTTATCTGCGATAACATTGGAGTTGCGACTATTCAAAAAGATGTTTTCCAACCTCCTTCGGAAAAGTAAGCTTTTAATTAAATTTAATGAAACAATAAATTAATTTCGTGTCCAAAATTAGCATGTCTACAACTAAATCAATACGAAAAATATTGCAAAAAACATCTAGTTTTACAACTAAATCAATACGAAAACTATTGCATTGAGGACGCTAGTTTGCTACGTGAAAAAAAGACAAAAACACAATTTTTAGTATAGATGTGTTGATTAATATTTGCATAATAAAATATCGTTAAGTACGTATACCTGGGATCGAGTTTTTTGATACTTTTATAATATATTACAAATATATATTCAGAAATGAGCTTTTAACAATAATGAAATGTCAAACGTTGTATTAATTATATAAAAGACTTTTGTCTAATTTTAATCCACACATTTATTGAAACTAATAAATTTACTCATCGAGGTTTTAATTTGTCACTGTCATAAAGTCATATAAACTTTATATTCCGAGTTCTCATTATCATTATTTATTGCAGTAACCCAACTTTGTCTTGCGAAGAGATCAAGAAAGTCAATCTGGAAGCGTGGCAAGATCCATCACAGCAACCTGACATTTTGAGTCGCACCACTAAATGGATCAAAACTAAAGTAGCCTACTCAGGCAACTCCACAAAATAGTCGCACAGTGTATGGTGAGCTTTAGTTAACCAGAAAACTTGTGTTATTTATATTTTTGTGTATGAAATCCACAATGCAAGTACATTCTGTTGGTAAATATGTTTATTAAATTCTGATATATAACAGTCTTAAGTAGTTTATATCTTGATTTATACAGTAATTACAGTTATAATTTGGACTTGCATTGTGGATAATGGTGACGCAGTGCAGTATTGAGGTTTGTTTGTAAATTGTTTAGTTATATAAATGTTCTGAAATATAAAAAGGAACTAATAAATTAAGTAGTAATTTTGTTCACAAACATTTTGTGGAAATTTAATTCTATCTTTCAGTTTAAAGGTTGTAGCAATGAGCACAATTTAAAAATACAAATAAAACATATCTGTAACTAAAATTAACTTGAATGGTTTGTTACTTAAACGTAGTTGTTACGTTATATTTATGCTCAATGCTACAACAAAGTGTTATAGGTTATCTTATACTGAATTAATGTATTTGTTCAGTACTTGAAGATCTACTGTTTGTGGGCAAATGTTATATTTATAAGCGAGTACTTGGTACAGTGGCTGTGATACCGTGGGCCACGCCCACTTGCCTAAGCGTCTCGAGTTGGGAGACTAAGGCTCTGATCCATATGTTAAAAGATCAAGAAGCCCATAAAGAAGTTTAAAAGATCATAAGCATTTTGAAGTCAAATCGAAATTTTATCAGAAATCGATTGATGAAATAATTTTATATAGGATGGGAACTGTTTTTATAGTTTGAAATGAAATCTAATAAATACTATGTCATAATATTATTTCGCAGACCAGCGAATGATATAAACTTAATTTCGCAGAACAGTGAATGACATAATCTTCATTTAGCAGAAAGTCGTTTTGCAATTGATAATAGTTATGTTTATCAGTTTTTATGCCTTATCTATAAGTATTTGTCAAAAGAAGATTATGTCAAGTTTGCTATGTCAAATAAATCTTCCCGATGGAGGGAAAGGACAATAAATTTATAATTGTCGCAATTCATTATTTAAAAATAAATATATAGTAATTAACTTCCTATACACATTTTTTGTCTGTAAAGCAAAACCTATTTATTTATATAAATCAGTGATTTATTTTCATTCGATTGTACTTTTAATTTCAAGTAATTGTTTCATCATAATTTTTTAGATTTGTATCTTGTTACGGAATATTTTTTTTTTCATTTATGTTTATTTTTCTCAATTTACCCCGGTAAATTTTACATATTTTTTTCTTATTTTTTCATATTTTTTTACATTTAATAGTTCTCAACGATTTTAGTAAGAGATTAAGTTATTTTCTGAATTATCTAATGCACTACTATTGTCTATGGCGTTAGATAAAATGCAACGAAAATATATAATTAATGGCAGTCTCATTGAGTGTGCCATAAATGCCAAAGACTGGAATACAATAAAGAACTGTAGCAAGTGGTTAAGGTGGAAAGTCATGGTTTATTGGTTTTTACTTAAAAGAGACGCGTCTATAAAGCAATATTATTTATTCTATAATAGCTTCACAAGTCTCTTAATAAAGTGAGTAAGTAGTTGTTTTCTTGGAGCACTAGAATTCTGAAAAAAAAAAACAGTTGAGTAGAAATCCTATTTTAATGAAATCATTTAAAAATTAATATCCTTAGATTATCGTTATGAAACAGGTATTATAAAACTATTCAATTGATAAAAAATAAAACAATAATGTAACGGTGCGTTGCATCACCGATTATTTCGTCCTAGGTTTTCGCCTGCAAACTTTTTGTCTTTGATCTTCAACATCATTTATTTTTATTATTTACCTTTAGTAATTTAAAATTTTGAGTAATCCAATATGCTCTTTATGAATGTCAGTTCGTGAAAATTCGTCGAGTTAAAAACATTATACATACTTAATTTCAATCAATAGCAGTTTGTTGTAAAAAAAGCGATAAAATCTATTTATTTTTACTTATTAGATATGTATACCATATCAAATCAAATATAATAAAGTTAAATTACTCACCAAACCCGAAGGAAAGGGGTATTTAATTGTTACACGTACGAACTGTTTTTATATTCCTTTTTTGTTTGTTACAATTATTTTTTAGTTACCCTTTATTAAACCAAGTTCTGAAGCTTAGTCAGCCTTTTATTCATTTGCCTAAGCAACGAACTTACTCGTCACAATAATATTAAATCTCGCGCCATCTAGTGGCATTCAAAAGTAACCGTGACATTCCACCGTGTAAGAGTTTCTGGACTATTTAAGATTTATACTTAAATATTTTAATTTAGAGTGACAGTAAACTCTCTATAATTTAATATCTGTTACCTTCTAATATAGGGAAAAAATATGAATACAACGTGTCTTGAGCAACTAGAACGCAATAGAATTTGCAAAAATATTTTTCTGCATCATGGCCACTTCAAAGTTTTATAGAGCATAATGTGTCACCTAATGCGTATTTTTTAGCAATAGTCGTAAATGCGTTATATTATGTAATGTGTGTTGTGTTGGCATTTCAACACATACACATATACTAACATTGATATTTTATATCTTTTAACAACACTTTTTTGTCTAATTCTATTTGCACAGTTAATTAAATGTGAAAAATAATAGATACAATTATATACTTAAATGTGAGTAGTAAAATATACCGAGTTTGTAATTGATGAGAACAATAACGTTTTACCGGTGTTTACATAATGTGTGTATAAAAAAAACATCTAATAAGAGTCTGAGATGTACAGTCAACGGTACGTCTGATTGTCCTCTATTGTTAAATTTCTTGATTTAAAATATTTTTGCGTCGACGGTAGAATTTAAAATGAACCGTGACATACTCGTATTACGACCAGTTTTCCTGATATCTGTTGTGTGTACCTAACACGTTGTATTTGTAATTTAATTTTCCTAAATCTTAAGATATTGGACTGTAAGCTGCTAAAGAAGACTCATATCAAAATAAGTTTTGTTTAAGTGATAAATGAAAATGTACCTAATTTAAAAGGCTATAGAAATCAAAATCCTTATACTATTTCTAATCCTACTAAGTCTCTAGCAATAAAAATATTTTTTATCAATCGGCTATTATTTTATTCAATTTCAATAATTATTAACAATTATACATGTTGACATCATTGCTACAACTCATAAAAATCATTATATTATGTATTTATTTAAGCAATGACTTCGCATTATTTTCTTTTAATGTTGGGCGTACATAGTTTATAATAATTATATAATTTAATTTACACGCTTAGTCATATCCTATTTCCTATATTACCTGTTTTATAATTAGGCCCAAATAGTTTTTTCATTGGAAATTCTAAGGACTTTAAAACTTATTCTTATTAAAAAAAAAATATTCAGGAGAACGTGTCTATAAAGAAAACTTTGGTACACCGAAAGCATGATAAAAACAAACAGCGATGTTCTCCAGCTAAGCTTATTTTAGATCGTTCTTCATATTACTATTTGTGATTATGCAAACTTAAACAAGTGCTTATTTTATTTTATGTACTTACATATCGAAGGTGTTTGCGAATGAGTCTCCTTCATTTGCTTATTAAAAAAAAAGTAGTTAATTATTAAAAACGCTGCTGAGATGCTCTTCTTGTAACAAAGACCTTATTTGAAATAAAATAACTAGATTACCAAAATTCGTTTGCATAAACTCACGTATGAGTTTTATATGAAAATAAGCTAAATTTATATATAGATATGTCACTTATCTGTTTCTTAAGCTTTTTTGCACTTTTCCAATAAATTGAATTAATTTAAATATGTTTTTTATTGTTTAAAGTCTTTTATAAATCCTGCAATTATTGTTCTTGATATTAGCCGGTATACAAAGCAAATAACAGAAAACTTATCTCGAATTAAAAATAAACTACCACTTTATCCAGGTTGCTTCTAGGTATACAGGAAAATATTGTAATCAGCGCGTAAGTTTTTTTCTTATTATTTAGAATTTTTGTATGAGCATGTTTACGAAAAATTATATTGAAAATAGAACTCAGTTATTCCGTTTAAACATCCTTGAAGTCATCGTCGAGCGAAGCGCGTGTTATTTGATTGAACGTCTATACTGCGACAGCGCTGCGTTTGTCGATGAGTATAAGGCTGTTTTATAACAAGACTGCAGCTTACTGTATTCGGAGGCTGCAGTCCTATTCTGATATAAAAGTAACTATACCTATAACAAATAGTTACGATAATGATTTCATAAATCATAACATGATCAGAATAATGTATTAAAACTTCGGTCTTTTATAGTGAATTGTTTTGTCAATTATTAAACTACTTCAAAAGATTTATTTCACTGAACCTCTACTATGACAGTTCAAGGACGTTTCTATAACAGAATGGGAACCTCCGAATAGGTAGCATCGAGAAGAGTTCGGCTAGGTTGGGCAGCGTTTGGGAAACTACGTCAGGTCTTCACATCGTCGATCCCGCAGTGCCTAAAGACGAAAGTCTTTAATCAGTGCGTCCTACCCGTTATGACATACGGAGCCGAAACGTGGACACTGACGGCACGGCTGGTCCACAAGTTGAAGGTCGCTCAGCGGGCTATGGAAAGGGCTATGCTCGGCGTTTCTCTGCGGGATCGAATCAAAAATGAGGTGATCTGGCAGAGAACCAAGGTTATCGACATAGCCCACCGGATTAGCAAGCTGAAGTGGCAGTGGGCTGGCCATATTAGCCGCAGAACCGATAACCGTTGGGTAAACGAGTTCTTGAGTGGAGACCGCATCTCGGCAAACGTAGTGTAGGACGTCCTCAGGCGCGGTGGAGCGATGATTTGCGCAAGATGGCTGGCAGGAGCTGGATGCGAACAGCCGAAAATCGAAGTAGATGGCGTGCAATTGGGGAGGCCTATGTCCAGCAGTGGACGAATATGGGCTGATGATGACGATGATGATAGGGTGTAGGTATGTGATAGGTTCTCTATGTAGTAAATTTTATTTAAATCCGTTCAGTTATGCTACTTTGTTAAAGCCAGCCTTGAACGCAGTACTGTCACGTTATAGAGATTCAATGAAATAAAAGCCGTACAAGCCGTATTACCTTTTGAAGGAGCTTTAATTTATTAATTACATAAACAATAATAAATTATTAATTACACATGCACACGCACTTTGAATTTTTTTTTAAAATATTCAACATCACATATATTAGATTGTGTAAGACGGATATTAATGCGATAGATAGTTAGATTTTTCACCTACCTATATTTTTCGACATTTCGACCAGGTTATAATGGCCGTGT